AAAAGATTTGGGAGAAGGAACAGGTGCCGATGGACTGGAAAGAAGGACACCTCATCAGGATTCCAAGGAAAGGAGATCTGAGCAAATGTGAAAACTACAGAGGCATCACACTACTGTCAGTACCAGGAAAAGTCTTTAAGAGAGTGTTGCTGAACCGGATGAAAGATGCAGCAGACGCCCAACTTCGAGATCAACAAGCTGGATTCCGTAGGGATCGGTCGTGCACAGACCAAATAGCGACACTACGGATCATCGTCGAACAATCAGTTGAGTGGAACTCGTCACTGTACATCAACTTCATTGATTACGAAAAGGCATTTGACAGTGTAGATAGGAGGACGTTATGGAAACTTCTTCGAACCTACGGAGTTCCTGAGAAGATTATCAATATTATCCGGAACTCAAATGACGGACTATAGTGTAAGGTCATGCATGGAGGACAGCTGAAAGATGCATTCCAAGTAAGGACCGGAGTCAGACTAGGCTGTCTACACTCTCCCTTCCTCTTTCTTCTGGTGATCGACTGGATTATGAAGACCTCGACATCTGAGGGAAAACACGGAATACAATGGACAGCTCAGAATCAACTAGACGATTTGGACTTCGCAGATGACCTGGCCCTCCTATCTCATACACATGAACAAATACAGATAAAGACAGACAGTGTAGTAGCAGTCTCTGCATCAGTAGGCCTCAGCATACACAAGGGGTAAACCAAGGTCCTCAAGTTCAAAACGAAGAACAGCAATCCAATCACACTTGATGGCGAAACTCTGGAGGATGTAGAATCCTTCACATACCTGGGAAGCATCATCCATGAACAAGGATGTTCAGATGCAGACGTGAAGGCGAGGGTTGGCAAAGCAAGGACAGCATTCCTACAGTTGAACAACATATGGAACTCAAAACAACCTTCAACCAATATCAAAGTGAGAATCTTCAATACGAATGTCAAGGCGGTTCTACTGTACGGAGCTGAAACTTGGAGAACTACAACAACCCTCATCAAGAAGGTCGGATACTATCAGCAACAGCCTTTTGTGGGAGAGAACAAAGCAGCTTCCAGCTGAAGAGGAAATTGGGAAAAGACTATGGAGATAGGTGAGACATAAACTACGCAAATCGTCAAACTGAATCACGAGACAAGCCTTAACTTGGAATTCTGAAGGAAGGCGGAAAAGAGGAGGGCCAAAGAACACATGAAGTCGAGAAATAGAAGCAGATATGGAAAGGATGAATAGGAATTGGAAGGAGCTGGAAAGGATTGGCCAGGACAGGGCTGGATGGCGAATGCTGGTAAGCGGCCTATGTTCCTTCACGAGGAGTAACAGGCGCAAGTAAGTAAGTAATCGTCCAGCTGAGTCCAGAACACCAATAATAGCTTCCGCTATGCGAATTGTTTAATTTAGATGCACTTAGTTTATATACCAGCCAAACTAGGAAATAACATTTATACAATTTCAGGCCTAAACGTGGCTGTGAACGTGGGAGACAGTAATTAATAAACTGAGTATAATTTAATAACAGTAAGTCGTATAATGATAAATTATGGGTCAAAATAAAGCTTATAGCAAGAGAAATATAGATATATATTATCTAGTCTCTGAACAGTTATATAATAGGAATATTTGTATACATATATTATTAGTCCATTATTAGAACTCAGAGTTTACCCGTAATTTAATCTTCACTAGGATATAACACATCCCCTTTTTGAAGCACCAGAGATAATAACGATCCTTGGGATTTATTTCTATTCGGTTAGAATTACGTCTGATGCGCTGCAATCGCCTTTGGAGAGTTGTATACGTTTTCTTGTCCGGGTCCTTTTTAATTTCACTATCTGATTCAAGTAATATGTTTAGTGGTATATCCTGATTTATATCACTTCCTGTGTCACACTCTTGTCTGGTTGGCTGTATCTGGTTTTCATGTCGAACCCATATCTCTTGCCCAACTTTTACTTCATAGATAATTTTCCCTTTTTCCGGATTACGATGCCAAACCCCCAGGGAGGGTTGATCTATTTTCATGTCGAAATTATCATCGAGGTCTTAAATCAGGTAATTCGGTAGCAGCATTTTTCACATTATCTTACAATTAATGCTCGTGTAATGTAAATTAGCACCCGTGGTACAACTCTTAATTTCCGTGATCAGTATAACTACTATAGACTTCTTGAAAACACTTGACAAACGTTGAAACCTTAATGTTTAAGTTGAACATGTCCTGTTAAATATTTGCCTTCTGGACTTCGATCTCAACAAATACAGAAATGCTGTTCTTAACTTCATAGTATTTCGGGTGCCTAGATCTGATAAATAATGGGGATGATTGTGCCAACAAAGAAGGTGTGATGTCAGTTGGTCCTCTTTTATTTGATCATATATATTAATCGTTGGTTTCTTGTTATTAACATTTTGCTAAGTGCATAGCAAAACGATTGGTGACATTGTGCTATTTACCGTTCGTTGACCGTTGTTTCTATTTCCTGTATTTTAGGCCCGTTGAATAAAAATCTTGATTTGGGTTCCTGGAAGACTGGATAGACATAACGTTTCTAAACCTCATTATTTTCGTTCAACTACAACAAATAAATGGAATGAGATTATATGGCAAATATAAATGTTACGAATTCGGGCCAAAATACACCATATTACCTGAAAGGGGTTCATAATTAACGATGAACATAATAAGAACTTATTTTTGTTGTTTGTCTACTGCTGCGTGAGTTAAAGTTTGTTGGTACATATGATGGGCTGAGTTGTCGGATTAGATTCCAAGAGTTGTAGCATCGTAGTACTTGGAAATGCTGTTAGTGCTATTTTAAAACTTCAGATTTATTCCCGATGAAAAAACAAAAATCCGGTTGATATGTAGATCACTTAGAGGTTGTTATACGGCGATACAATAAGGTAGAAGGTGAAAGTAGCAATTAAATACTATAATGTAACGGCACTTCTTAAATCATTCGGCCTCAGAATTGACAAGTATGGTTTCGAGTTTCCATGCATTTAAATGCTGAGGCAAAAATCGATGTAGTGCCTTCAGAAATCGAAAGAAGAATCACCAAAGAAGCATTTTATGGACTGGTCACTCACTCGAAACCTTAAATGTAAGTGTATACATTACACATATTTCAGATGTGTTGATTTGGCAATGGCTAGTTGATTGCCCGTCATGTACGTACACCTTCAACAAATATGGTTTCTCAGTAATCTCGTTTGTGAAATGTTAACATTTTCGAATGACGTTTTTGAGTCCGAATTACATTCTTGGGGAGTCATAGAGACCAAAAAATGTGATGGAGACCGGCTTTTCATATACTATGATACCATGGGAATTTTGTTATATGTATCTACTAAGTCGAATTCAGAAAAAGCCCACTATATATTGTCAGACAAAGTCTACTAAAAATCAGGCGTGTGTGGAATCAGATAATGGTCGCGTAACCTTACATTATTCAAGACATGATTGCTACCAAATGGGAGCACATTGTGGTTTTCGTAGTTGGTGGGATTTAGAAGCCATTTTCATCAGTCTTCAAACTAGCGAGCTTCTTTTTGCTGCATATGCTCGATTCTCACTTTCCGATAACGGTCTATTGTGGTGGAAATTATCGTGGTTTAGCTTAGATAAGTTGATTATTAACTGCGTTATTAGATAAATTTTCAGCTCGATAATTCATCATCAATATGTTGGCATGATTAGATGGACTGGTTTTTCCATAAAAGTCACAGGTTGTCTTGATGGTGGTAATAGCTGTCGGATTTACTGCTTGTATCTCTTTGTTTATATATTAGTCGTTGAAAATGAATGGCATGGAGCATTTCGACTGATAATGGTAACGTGCACCAGCAGTTAATTTCGGGCGGTTGAAGTTTGTAAAGGTTCTCTGCTGAACTCTTTTTTCGTCCAGTTACTTAATGATGTTTTCACTGTAGAGCCAGTGAAATGTCATTGGGCCCTACCTAATTCATTCAGTGGTGGAGTCACTGATTGTCGATACAGTTTGTCGATCCTCGTTAAGTTCAAGGTAGACCAACACGCATCAACTAATCGTACGCCATAGACTGGCCTATGTGGTTGTGGTCGCAATCTCTTCCTTGTACCTACTTTACCAATATATTTCTGTAATGACGTCCTTTGTGTTATAAGTTTTTCATTGCATTCACAGTACCATGATACAAAGAAAAGTAAATCCACAAAGGTGCTGACCGTGAGGTGTGACTTCGAAGTTAGCTAACCAATCACACCATCCGCGTCTAACTCGAGTAGGTCCCTACTCATTTTACGTTAGTGATCTACATCTCCATTATATTTCATATTAAGGCGATAACTCTCAACATGAGCATGTGAGTAAAAAAGAAGTAATATTTTCTATACCAGTGAATCAGTACTTCTCGATATAACCACATTTTCCAGGATAATTGTGTATCTCAACCTCTGCACCGCAGAAGTACATGGGGACTAGTGAAACGCAGTTCACCATACCGTACAAAATATCACTCTAGAAACTTCGAGGTTTTTCACCAAGATACATGATCATTTTTTCAAAATGAAAGTCTAGAATCTACAAAATCCATTACCTGACCGAATGACCACTACAGATTTTGATACCTCCTTTAAAGACAGGTCTGAGAACCATATTGGAATCGTATGTACTGAACAAGTTTTTCCCCTTGACTTTGATTTTATTAATGAAAAACCTGCAATTTCTTCCCTCGTTTTCAATGAATATGAAAATTAAGGCAATTCTATTTAATACCAAGGACCATCTTTTATATCTCAGGAATGCATTAACGAATAAGTAGTCATCTATTCTGCTCAGCAATGTTTAAAGTTCATACCAACCTTTTGAATGCGAAGTTTTATTCACGTAATTATAATGAGATACTGCATTTCAATGCTGTATAGCCACTTTTATAAGCAAACTGATGAGAATGACTGGGCTAGATATATAATGTTTCTCTATTGTTTATTGAAAGTTTCTGGCCTTTAAAGATAAGCGGACAAAGCGCGCTTTACGTCTTTACTCTTGTAGGTAGCTATTCGGGTAAATTGTACGTTATGTAATTGTTTTTGGCTTTGTCATATTGTGTATTGTTGTATCAGTTATTCATATCCAACACAAATTTGGTTATCAATGGACTTCCTGACCTAAATTGTTTCATATGAGGGTTGCTTAAAAAACCCTACAGCCATTGTAATTACAATAGCTGTATGGATTTAAATTTTTCATCACTGTAACGACCGAAGAATATCTTAAGTGATATGTCTTGCAAACTTCGATTCATCTATAAGGTGACAGGGACTGTTCACACCATCTGACCTATTTTGTTTGAACCAGTGATCACATCCTTGTCGTATATATTAGAACAGTTGACCGGCTGATCATAGGTAAAGATATTGATCTAGTGGCTTGTCTTCTAAAAATGGAAATCACATCTGGTTCAGTCTAACTAGAAGGCCTCTTCTTAATAGTCAGGTAGCCATTACACATCTAACCATACCCAGATGGCATGTCGTGCTTAGTACATGCAGTCGTGCGTTACTGTTTCCACTCATTAGTGGGTGCTACTATGCCTTTAACAACCACAGTCTCAGCGTATTTTTTTATCAACATAGCTTTTTGAAATTATAAAGATTTAAGTGCAAACCGTATCCACACATCGTGAAGTATTTACCGCCTGGTATTTCTGTTCGTACTCATTTACAACTTCATCAAAGTTGTTTTTGACAACCCTATGTTAAATGACGTGTTCTGCTTCCAATAAAATAGCATTCTGACTGATGCATCCAGTAACCAATGGAGGTCCTTTTGTTATGCTTCTATGTGCTTTAATCACTTGTTAATACACATGCGAAAATCGATGCATTTAAGGATGTTTCTAATCTCTAAGATATTTGAAAGTAAGGAGTTTTTCATATTGGCCACAAGCGAACTTTATTCATGTTTCTGACGTTAAGATTCGAAATTAGTTATGATGTCGTAATTGGGTATGGTATTCTCGTTACTTGGACAATCAATTTAAACATTTCGATTATGTGGCAGCAGTTCCATCTTAATAATCAGTTACTATAGCTGGTTCATTTCTGGATTATGGAGTTTCCTTTTTTATACTCAACTTCTGTTTTATTTCGCTTGATTTAACATGGGCTGCAGATCATTTTTGCTTGAAATTATTTCATAATGTAGTTGTGTTCATTTTATATTAGCCCCAGCTATCTTACATGCTGCAGTGGGTTGGGTATCTTATTCTTTTTCAAAGTACGTGATTGTCATCATACTTCCGGTTTACTTCATACCTAGCTTTAACCATTAATGCTCAAAATCATCAAATAAAACTTACACCAACCGTTTGCTGAAAGATATTATTTGAAGACCAAGTGCTAAGAAAAATATTTTTGTAAATGGTTTTTGTCACTCGTATGAATGGAAATTATGAAAAAATTAATTCATCAATACTTGGTGTAGAACACTCACATTCTCTTACAAGACTTGCTAAACTGAATGAATTAAAAAAAGAAATTTTTTAATACATTCCGTGGTCAGATATCATAATGCCTCTAACTAGTTTCTGTCGAATTATTGTTTTTTTATTCTAACATATATTGATATAAGGAGGCACCAAATACATATGAGCCACACAGATCTCATTTTATGTGTGTGAGGACTGTGATACTGCCCGGGTGCCCAAACCGTAGCAGGTGACCTTCCTAGGGGGCCACACCCGGAGCCTTCGACCTGAAGGTCTGATCCACAGGGCAGTGGAGCATCGTAAGGAAATGCAGTCCCATGGTAGCCGATGACCAACAATTGGTTCGTACGCTATTTGTCCCTTCAGGATACTGGAGCCCATGTGCACCATTGGTTTGGAAGGAGAGTTTTCCAACTCCCCTAGGTGGACTCCATGTCCACAAACCCGGTTAAAGCGCTGGACATTCGCTTTTGGTCCTCTAAATTTCGTAAACAACACCCCTGCCACGAGAAAATGCAGTGAGTAGGACTTCCTTGGCAGGGGCTATATACGCGTGACCATGTGAGAACATTTCGAGAGGGAGAGCGGACTCTCCCCACCCTCGGCCGTACCAGGGCATTTTCATTGGAATTGTATTTAAATCTTTTTCTAGGAGTGATTTTTACCGTTTTCTGTTGCTCATAAGATAAACACCGGATCCAAAGATTTATTGTGCTGTATTTACGTACATTTCTATCATTTTATCTACATCTTACATGTCAAGACTAATCTTATTGTACAGTTCATTTTCTGTATTATATTATGAGAGATATAATCACATCAGTTCTCAGTAAACTCATACGCACTTGTTAGCTCAAATGGTGTGTTGGTTGCTCCAAAACCATAAACAGGTGTCATTAAAAAGAAACCATGTATTTGTATTCAGTGTGTAAATATAGCTCATTAGTTTAATTTGAGATACTGAATTTCACTTCTCTGCGCTTAGTTAGATTACCACTATCGTTTTTCATGATTTCGTAGATGAATTTATGTGACCACTCCTGTAAATGGTTTCCACTGTCATACATTTTTGTAAACATAAAGGTATCTGAGTGATACACAATTTTAACGCAGCTTTAAGTTCATAAGAGCACAACAACAATTATTTTCCGTTTTTCGGAATACTTTTAAAGTGTTGGGGAACTTCAGATGTGCCAAATATCATTTATATCCTATAAGTCTTTTGTGGTGCTGTATCTTTTGGGTATTCATTGTTCAGTTATCTATAATTTATCTCAATGACCCTTTATAGTCTAAGGACTATTTTTTGAAATGCAGTGTTTCTAATGGCTCGTGATTGATTTTTGTTCCAGCTCACACTCATTCCCTTCCTTTTTGGTATGAGTTATTCTATGGAACCGCCAGCAATGAGCACTTTTTTATCAGACAACGAAACAGTTGGAGAATCCACTAACCTTTTGCATCTCGAAGGTCATAGTTGGAGCCAGCTGCAAGATGGGACTATTGAGATAACTGACCGATTGCCTAAGAAAGAATACTACATGAGTCTTCGGAGGTTCAACAGCACTGGTCCTAATTCTGGAACTGCACACAGGTTGGGAAGTATTTCCAGTGGTTCAGCTGCTGGATTAGCCAATGGATCATCTGGTTTACTAGGTGGTAACTCACCCTCACCGCGCCCAGGTGGTGGTACTCTACGTGGATCATCACACCCATCGGTTGTTGATTTTAAACCTTCTGGTAAAATAGTAGATTGTACGGTTGTAATGCTGGATGGCACAACAAGAGAGTTTCGTTTAGATGTAAGTTGCAGTTAATATAGTTTATTCATACTTTTTTCTTTCATCAAATTAATACCTGTACTGAGTTATTGCTTCTACGGACTACTGTTCCCATTTCAAACTGTCGGTAAGAATGTCCTAAGGGCCTTTTAACTGTTTGTCTAAATTGATGTTGTGTTGATAGTTTTAAGAATAATCAACTTAAGGTTTCCATACTGAGATGTAGCGCATGTTATATTCTTGTGTACTGTCAATTTCGAAATTTTATGATATTCTTACTAGTTTTCCTCAAATATATCAGATATCAAGTTTGAAAGCTAGAGGTGTTTTATATTATTGATATTTTTATACTGTTAAAGATCCCCACTTTAGGTCACCAAAGAATACATATAAATGTAGTGGTGATTGTGAAGAGAAGATGGAGGGGTCATAGAGCCCATAAATAAATAAACGAGAATAGTATTTAAATACAGACGCGGTTCAGTTAGAAATATAGCCAAGGAGAATGTCATACGTCTAAGGTAGTGCAACTTAATGAAGAAAGTGATAGGAAACTATGGCAAGAGTGCCACTGGATTTTCTCCAAAGTTTGTCTGGTAGCGTTTCAAGACAGAGTTGCACGGTATTTAGGACTCCAAGCTAGAAAGCATAATGAACCGGCCGATCCTACACAGTTATTTTTCATATCACTACCCCATATCATAAACCGACCACCTCTTCTTACATACAATCCTAGCGTTTGAAAATAATGTACAGAGTGAAGCTGCTGCGGAAACCTTTGTAAAATATGTACAAACCACCGAACATGACACCAAATTGAATAATTGACGTTATGCTTGAATTGCTAACATAGTATTTCCATCAGATTTGAGCAACCTTTCGGAAGCAACGATTAAATTCACAGTGACAATTGTTCTTCACGCACAGATTAAATTAAAACGTTCCCCACAACGCGATACCTGACAGTCTGACTAGGTCTATTTAACATTCTGTATAAGTAAATTTGTCCTGTGGGAGAGTAACTATGAATAGCTGATGGTTAATAGTATTTCAGTCAGTAATATGTAATATTCCTGGTTCTACTTTGCATATAACTGACTGATTATACACTAAAGTCATGAAAGATGATGAGCGAATAAAAATGAAGCTGTAAATACTATGAGTTTTTTTTATTTTTCGGCTAAAGTCGTCGTTACATGTCTGTTTCTAACACACAAAAACGTATTCGTATTGCCCATCAAAAAACATAAATCTTCGTGACTAACATCACACATATAGAACGGTTTAGTTCCTACACATTGTTAAGATGTTTTTCAAAAAAAATTCAGAATCATCTTTTCTTTTTACGAATAATTTTCAACAACACCTTTTCGAATTTTAAATGATTGTGTCTGTTAAACCCTAAAATTAAACTGCTCCCGTTTCCCTAATCTTGTGACACCACTTAAAGTATTGAAATAATTATCTCAAAAATCAAATTACTAATTTGCATCATATTTTGCTTTTGATGTAACTACGCGGATGTTTTATGTTGTAGTCGTTCTCATTTAGCCAGAAGGTACTTTGTGTACTAGGGGACCATACGGTGTATCGTGAATAAGAAGAGCTGGAAAAGAGAAAATGGTCCAACGATCCGGTAAGCACACAGAATACACCTACATTTTAATAAAGAAAGCAATAGACAATTATCCTCAATAACACAAGCCTCGGATTAGGATAATCTTGGGATCAAAACTACAAGCAAATAGTTTAGCCTGTTATGGTGTGAATAAACTAATGTTCGTTTAGTTTTCATGCCTTAGCTCAATAAATGATAACAAATCTACATCTTTAAACATATAACAGGCCATAACATTAAAGTGAATTAAGCCTATACAATTTCCATATATTCTTTGAAAATCGTAAAATACATTAATAAAGCATAACTTATTAAAATTGTGGACTAGTTATTCATAACTTAAAATACTTGTTTTTTATAGTTAAGGTGAATAATATATATAAGTATGTATATGTGAATAACTGTACATTAACTAAATTCGAGTTCAATATCCATCTTCCTGAAATACTCGTCAACATTTTTCTGGTTTTAGAAAGCTGCCTATGGACAACAATTATTCGATGCTGTTTGTACACATCTTGGTTTATTAGAGGTTGAATTCTTTGGCATCACATATTACGATTCAACTAATAATTGGGTGAGTGTTTTTATAAATATCTAGTTGTTCTACTTACTGTTGCGTCAAAATCTTTAAGTTACTAATGTTCGACATTGTAGAAGTGATTCTCAGTGGTTTTAATCATCTAATTCACATTCAGTTATTCACAGGTTCTAATTTCCCTTCACCATGTTAGGTATGACCATTTGGGTAGTATGGTAATGATCTTGTTTCATAGACTTGTTCGCAAATAATGTATTTGATTGTCAAAATGCTTTTTTGATACCATAAAACCGAAATTAAATCTTGACAAAAAACATGTATAGGTTGGCCTGTCAGTTCCTTAAGTTCTTTAATCAAGCTCCAGTGCTCATGAAGTCATCACAGTTATTTAGCTTTATTTTCCTAGAATTTTGGATTACCTACACATTCAACAAATCTCCTGTATACCATAAATCTCCTTCCCTTGCTTCTGAAATTTTGTTTTATTCTTTTTATCATCATGTTTTCACTAACCTCATCCTTCTCCTTTGCAACCAATGCTATTGATTTAACCTTATAGAATGACATCTCTATTCTCATGAAACTGGTCTCCAAACTAAATGTTGAAGATTTCAGTCTCTTATCTCCTGCGTAAAATCAGTGTCTGTTATAGGAAGATTTATTAAGGAAATACATCAATTAATTGAACCCTCATTGCTAGACAAAATGCCATGGGGAACCCATCTACATTAGATATATCATGTAATATTTGTCATGACCATCCGCTTGACCTATTTTTACTTGTACTTGTCACGTTATTGCTGTCAGACTTAACGTTTTACTACTCCTGTAATTTTATCATCGACTTTGATTTTGGGAACATAATAGATCTATTTAGGGAGACCGTTAAAAAGTGCATTCTAAAGTAGTTCCATGATAACACGTCATTATTTATTTATTTTACTGCGAAGTGTTATTTAAAAACTAGTGACAGAACTATGCCAATCCCTAATTTACAATCCAATATGAAGTTTTTGAAAACACTTAACAGTTTATACAACTTAATTCATCATTTCTGATTTGACTTGTTGACTGGAAGGTTAGAGTACACTAACCACTCCAAAGATTATTTGCAATTATCATAGGTATGAGGGAGATAGAAAAAAAATGTCAAGTAATCATACTACGTTCTCCTGTCTTCGAACTAGAAACAATATTTTAGCATAATTCAAAATCACTTATTCAGCAGTTAAACAGCACGTTTGTATGAACTGAGTAAACAAAAAACCCAACAGATTTAGTCGTCTTATAAATCCTATGCGTACATACACAGTAGTTATATGGTCACTTATTTTAAAATCATATACCTGAAGACTTTTGGTTTGTGAAAAAAGCTAAAATCGAGATGCAATAAATTGCAAAAATTTTGCCCTGTGTGTATTTTGTATTTGAGTTGATTATGTTTGTTGAGTGCATCATCTTGTCATTGATTAAACTACAAGGTGAATTGAGAATAAGAACACGTTTTTACATGGTGAACACAGTTTACCAATATATATATGGTTAATAAAATCGTTTGCAAAAAGCAGTTGCTTGATTTTCTACAATCTAATTTTACAATGCGGTGCGTATATGCCAAGTTCTGAGAGTAAAATACTAATTAACACTTCAAATATAACTTCCCAACACACCTCCATTGGATGATGTTAACCCTCGTAGAACTCATCCAAATAAATAATTCTTTCATTAAAGGGATAGATAGTCAATCAATCAAGCCTTATCACTGTAGAAACTTTCACGAGTAATATTGGATAAAGCGATCAAAGTTCCCCCTTTCAACACAAGATTAAAAAAGAGGGATTAATATTAATTAGAATGAAAATTTGTACGTGTAGTATAACAGCTCAAGAAAACATTGACGTGAATTTGAACAATGAAGTATTGGAAATTGACATCTAACCTTAAATTTACAAAGAAGTAATCAAGTGAATCCCAGCTTGCTGAGTGTCACGCAGTTCAGTCCTGCGTCGTTATATTACCCAAAAGTCACCTAGACAAACCGTTTTGTGTCTAAATTAGATAGAACATAAAGGAAAGCCTTTCTCCGAAGTAGATCTATCAGTCAACACCAGAAAATGCTCTTTGGTCGTTAGCTTAAAAAAACCATTTAAGTTTTTCTTAAGTGAATTTATTTAACACGAAAAACTGATTCCCTGTAGGTGCTTATGATAGGTTATCAAATGTGTAGGTAGTAATTTATAACATGAAACTTAGGTATATTATATGGTATTTTTATTCGACATGAGATGATATCGCGATCAGATCGATTTCGTTGAAATCACGAGCCGATCTAAGTTACACAATCATTGAAAACCTGAAATAACTGGATGACTGTTTTTAATTTAGAGCTCTGTTTAACAATCAACCTTGTGCATAATGGGTGCAACCATTTACGAACCATTGCCTAATTAACTCCTATCTTTTCACGACTACCATCTCATCATTTTTATTCTCTTATTTTTTTTATTGTGATTATCTAGTTCTGGCTCCAAACTGATCAGAAAATTGCAAAACAAATCGGTAGTAAGTTACCATATATTTTGTCAATATTACCGTCATCTTTTGAAGAGGTTCTGTGGGGATTACTTTTCGTTACCAATTGGTGTCGGTTAAGTGTACTATAGCGGGGTCGTTATCACACTGCTAACGTGTCTCATACCTGGGCGAAACATGTCCGGCGGTATTTAATTTCTTTTACTGTTACCTCAAGTGTTGTCAGTTTGATGTCGAAAAGTTATCTACAAAAAATATATGAATTATTCATCATAAACAACTCATCTCATTAGTTCTCTTCTACAATTAAACATATCTGAAATGGTTGTATTTTAAACTTTGTTTATTCATTCGTGTAGGTTACCACCATTCTATTTTCCTGACATATCAATGGAGCATATACACTACTGTCTCTATACTGGAGTAGTATTCAAAAAATAATTTTATTTTCTTATTTCTGTTTCGTATTTTAATGTACTTTAATCAATTTATTTTCATATTCTGTTGTCCCATGTTAAGCAATTTTAATTAGTTGACAGAAATCTATGAACCTGTTTCATACTAGTCGCCACTTACTATTAGCAAGGCGCACATATAATCTTGAGGGTAATGATAATCGTGCTGTTTGAATATTTGTTTCACAGTCTGAGACATTATCACTGAGCTATCTGATCACGACTGATCTTCTGTAGGACTGAAATATGTTTATAGTTGATTAATCACCGAGTAGTGACCAATGTCATATATGTCAAGTTCTTAGTTCTAATCAGATTTTATCGCTCAAGTTGAAATGTGGTCACTAGTCGTAAATAACTCTACATCATGTTCATGTGTAAGGTGGTTGGAGACAGTCGCCAGGAGATTCTGGACTTAGGCTTCGTGTAATTTGGGACTTATCATCAAGATATACCTGTAATCCTGGAAGAACTGGTGCTCCGTGGCGGATTCGATCATATGTCTCCAACCTTCATAGACAGAGACTTTACCACTGATCTCTTCGGGCCTCAACTTATCTCTTAAAGAACGGAGATTTTTTCGCAATATTGTATACATACCCTTAGACAATGCCGGTAATATAAAAATTCTCCTCATAGAATAAAGTGCAGAACTATTTTCTTAATCCAATTTCACAGTTGAATGAAGCACAAAGTCTTTAGGAATAGTGGTTATTATTTTTCGCTAATAATTTATGTACTAACTGGTTGAAAGAAACTGATTTAATAAATGATAATGACCAAATTGTCTGATATATTATTTGGTCTTTCTTGGCTGGCAAACAGATGATATCTAGTGAACATAAATCTGTAGATAAAGAAAATGATCATGGTGTTGTTGGTTAATGTTGTTATTACCACCGACCGCAGATCTTCTTATTGTTCAATAAGCTCTCAATCGCTTCCAATGTTGATAATAAAAAACCGATGTTATAAGAGATGATAAAGTATTAAATTAATTAGGAAAATATCGTATAGTTAATTGCTAGAACATATGCCTTGAACTATTTCACCTGTAAAGTAAACGTGTATAATGATGAATATATAGCTCTAAAACAATTGTTTCCTTCGATAAATCAACACCATGTGAATCTTCAGTTATCCTATTAATAATAATATTATTATTGTTACTATTATTATCAATTACTTTACTGCCCAACATAAAATAATGTTAGTTTTATTAGTTAAATAATATTTGCTAAATAATTATTTGTCGCGATTGGTTTTCTAAACTGTTGGCTTTGATAACCATAGACTAGGGTATATTCTACTCTGTTTGTCCCACCGATCCACACTAATCAAATAGGGGGAAGGTTTCAAGAGTTTCATCATTTTAAACTCATTCAATTTTTGTTATAACTTAGTCCTAATGATTTTATAAGATTTCTAGTGAGATATTAAATAAAACCACCCACAATGGCTGGGAATCATTGTTTTTCATTGTCGTCCTTTACATTATAAATACTTTGTTAGTCCCTCTTCTGTTGATCCTCTAGTAGTGACTTGCACCGATAAACATGAAATTATTTGTGTTGTTCTGATATATTTAAATTTCTATATAAATGAATTATTGTCAATTGGCTTAGATTACATTATCATAATTCTGTCATTATATAGAAAATGAATGGCAGTTTGAATTTCAAGTTAAATTCTATCCATGTGATATCGACTCAATCAAAGAAGATATAACACGTTACTATCTTTGTCTACAAGTACGGCAGGATATAGTTAGTGGACAGTAAGTAAAGTGATAATGTGTTTATTCGTTTGGTTATTATTATTATATGCGAATATTGTAGCTGGCACAGCTATGAATATCTAAGCTAATAGGGTATGGGGACTTGAACCGATGTACATATGTGCCAGTTTCCACATTGTGAATGACGGATTTAATCAATTTTCAATTATTGCATTTAACTGGACTAATCTTTTCCCGTTTTTGATTCACATTTTCTCACAAATAATAATTAAAGATTCCTCAAGAAATACGTGTTCAGTCATAAAATTAAAGATGCAAACTCGTGTCTCTATTTAAATTTTTGGAATTGTAAATATTGTAGGACATTTCCTTAATTTCAAAATACCTTAAATGAAGTTGTTACTGAAGTGTATAACTATTTATAAATCACTTTCTTTTGGCAGGAAATAGCTTGGATTAAAGTATGTTCCGTGCGGGATTATGTTGGAGCACGCTGTTTAACCTATTCTTAACCAATCAGCACCAGCGATTAATTGAAGATTCTAGAATCTTCTCGTGTAAATTTATAAATGTGCCAACGTTTTTCCTATTGCACTTCAGTCCCATTCAACTTGTGTAACCTGGGATATAATTAATTACCCATTCAAACCATGTTCTGATTTTGGGTACTTATTTAGCAAAGTGTCTAAAAAATACTAAGCAATCAGGGTTGCTGGGTTGGATAATAAAAGATCTAACTCTCTCATTAGTCAATATTCGCTACATTTGTTATGTGGTTGATTATGTTATGGAGAAATGTGAGGTCCTAGCGTTAGCGTTATGGCTTATTGATATCTATACGCGGATTTTGGCATATTCACTCTTCACTTGGATCTTGAGTTTTAAAATTATTGACCCATATTGCCTTGATTGGTTTGCATTTTCGTATAAATATTCATGTATATTAGAGTAAAGCCTGATGACGATCTAATTGAAAACAATTGTTCGCTTATATATGTTGTTCTAGTTTTCAAATTATCGTATACTTTTTTATTCTGTGGATTTTTTGTTTGTCGAGCTGAATTATCTATGCCTAGTCTCCTTAACTTCCACTAATATCGTTATTACTTCTAATACAACGGTATATGTCTTGATATTTCCATCTTGTTGCTCTGATATGTGTCAACTTAAATTAATATACATTTGTTCAAGTCTATATATGACTTATGAACTGACTGACCATTTTCGTCTACTATGCAGTATGAATGAGAGTTATAAGTTCTTTTCAAAGGAAAATTTCGAACAGTTTACACGACTCGACTCCACTCTGTTTAATGAAGTTCGAACCAAGTTTGACTAAATTAGCGAATGTTCAAGTAAGTTGCTCAATAACTCAGTTAATCCATGGAATTATTAGATAGTGATGTACATATTGTTTGGTGTTTGACAAAAGTCAAATACACACAAAGTAAACTCATTTTTACTTGACCAGAATAAAACAAATTAATAGCTTTCTTTTAATCTTCTGAGGATTACTCAATGACTAGAGATTATTTGTGAAATCTTTACTCTTCCATATAAGTACAGATCGGTATATGTTAGACTACTGTCGAAAACCTGGGAGCATTAGACAACTGTTTCGTCCTATTATGAGACTCAGCAGTGAGCATCCATGAATTCGCACCCGGTCTCACTCTTAATCGCTTAAACTCGAGAATATTGAGATTAGACCGGTTCATGATTTGAATGTAATCCAACTATCTCCACAACTCTCAGACTGACATTCATATTATCTCTTTAGCTTACATGTAGTGAAACGATACCTCATTAGGTTACTAAAACATTTGAATTCAGATGATGATGAGTAGCAGGTTGGAACCACTATTCACTCATTTCAATTTGAGCAACTGTATAGTATCAATAGTCTTAATTAAAATTCGTGATACAAATTGTTTAAGTGCATAAACATTTCTTGGTTAGCTATTTGCATTCCACTTGTTAATTATTAGAAAAATTAACTAATTTGCCAAGCGCATATTTGTATTCTCACCGTTGAGATCCTTTTTTTAAAGGATATATATACTAACCAGCTGCCTTTTAACCGAATGACCTTTGGGGTGGCTTAATCATTGAACTGTTATGCCACTGCTCTATATTGATAATTATTTGTACACTACCAAAATATGTAAGTTATCATCATACTGGTCTTCATGCGAACTAGACATTCACCAGATATATCTAAATAGCATAGATTGATCTTGTGCAACTCAGTTATAAAAAACACTGATGCACTCTCCTGAAAGTGATATGCTGTTAGTGTCCTTTAAAAAACTTTTTTCGTCTACACATATTTTCACTTTTCTGGAGGAAATATTTTGTTTCAAGTAAATTAAAGACTTTTTCCATCGTTTTTATGAAATTCTTAGAAGCAAAACACCTTGCTCTCCTTTTTATGAAAAGACATTTTCAAAATTAGTTCAAAGTTCTTTCTTATTTTGTTGTTGGAATTAACACGTTTGCGTTCTTTGTTTGTTTACAAACAGACATTATTTCTGTTGTTAAAACTTATTTAATTTATGGTTATTTTCTTTGAATTGAATGTTTATTGTGTACCACTCTCTAGTTTCGTTTTTATATAAAGAATTATCACTCATATCTTATATATCGGTTTTGTCTAAGTAAACTTATTTTTTAATAGTTTTTGTGTCATATAGTGAGTCAGTCAATCAGTCAGCTACAACGTAGGACCAGGCACATATGTGCATCGGTCCAAGTTGCCTTACCTCATTAACACAACAAGATGGACACCGGATTCATAAAAGTAGTTAATTCGGAGGTGGTAATATATAAAAGAAACATTGCAATAAGGATATAGTACAGGAAGAAAGAATTAGTTCATAGGAAGAAAGATATGAAGTGATTTTAATCTCTTAGTTTAAGGGAAGACAGAGTGTTAGATGGTGGTTGGAGGTAGTCAACAGGAAACGCTGGACCCGGGTTTCGTGCTACTTGGCACTCGTCAGCAAGGTGTACCTGTAATCTTGAGGGAACTGGTGCTCCCTGGCGGATTCGATCTCGTGTCACCCAGCTTCACAGTCAGAGACGTTACCACTGAGCTATCCGAGCCGTGACTAACCTCCTGTAGGACTGAGATGTAATCACAATTGATTGATCACTGGGTGGTGATCAATCTCATGCTTGTCTAGTCCTTATTAGTGCAGATCGAATGCTATCGATCATGTTGCAATGTGGCCACCAGTCTAGGTGACTGGACACTGCGGGCACTATGTAATGAGATTAGATGGTGGTTGGAGGTAGTCAACAGGAAACCCTGGACCCGGGTTTCGTGCTACTTGGCACTCGCCTAGTCACGGCTCGGATAGCTCAGTGGTAACGTCTCTGACTGTGAAGCTGGGTGACACGAGATCGAATCCGCCAGGAAGCACCAGTTCCCTCAAGATTACAGGTACACCTTGCTGACGAGTGCCAAGTAGCACGAAACCCGGGTCCAGCGTTTCCTGTTGACTACCTCCAACCACCATCTAATCTCATTACATAGTGCCCGCAGCGTCCAGTCACCTAGACTGGTGGCCACATTGCAACATGATCGATAGCATTCGATCTGTACTAATAAGGACTAGACAAGCATGAGATTGATCACCACCCAGTGATCAATCAATTGTGAAGACAGAGTGTATACACCTACGCCATTGTGTTCGATTCTGAGCCATGTCACCAAGAGTCTCCAACCATTGATCACGATAGTCACGTGGACACCAACCAAGTAGTCTGCATCTACCAACATGGCTCAGAATAGAAGTTAATGTCTTCACGCACTGATGCCATGTTTTGGTTTGATCACCCCTAACTTTTTTCCAACCGTCCCGAACACCGGTTAGCATTGCACGTCGTGGTAATCGGTGTTCGGGTATACGTAACACGTGGCCCAACCATCTCAGTCGATGAAGATCCACAACCTCATCAACTGATTTACTATCATTACCTAATACCCTGCGTCTAACCTCACTATTACTTACCCGGTGATCACAACAGACGCCAGCAATATTTCTAAAGCATTTGTGGTCAAATACTAGTAGCTTACGGGTGTCTTCTACTCTTAATGGCCATGTTTCGCTGCCGTAAATTAAAACAGAACGAACTGTCGCGCATTATACTCGTCCTTTTATTGATAGACGGATATCTCGCCTTCGTCATAGGTGACATAAGTTGGCAAAAGCCAAGCGAGCTCTTCGAATCCGTGCTGAGATTTCGTCAGACACCAAGATAAGTGAAGTTGTCAACGCGTTTGACTACTTCACTCCCTATCCTTAGTTCAGGTGTTGACGTAGACCAGTCCTAAAGCAACAACTTGCATTTAGAGGGAGAGAAGCGCATTCCAAACATTCTGGCATTGTTGCTTAGTGCTATCAAAAGACTGCATTTTTTCAGGGTCTTCAACAAACAGGACTATATCATCTGCGTATTCTAAGTCGATAAGCGGACCTCCTGGAAGGAGATCAATACCCGAGAATTCAGTCGACGAGAATGTCATTTCCATCAATAGGTCTATGATGAAGCTAAACAAAAATGGAGAAAGTTGAGAGCCTTGACGGACACCACTTAAGGTTGCAAAAGCAGATGACAGTTCGCCATAAGCTCTGACTCGACTGGTAGTGTTCGAGTAAAGAGCCTTTACAAGGTTTATGTACTTCTGGGGTACGCCTTTCAATGACAGACACTGCCACAGAATCTCGCGGTCTACCGAGTCAAATGCTGCTTTTCAGTCAAGAAAGACCACCATTGTCGGACGTCGATAAGTATGCCTATGTTCCATCAGTGTGATAGACTTTGAAGAAATCCACTGGTTCTTTGTAACTCTGTGGTTTAAGTCACTAATAGATTTCATTGCTGTTTCCACAGCTGTTTGTATAACTTTCCAGGCAACATCTGGGTCAGCCTCGTTTTCAGAACTACCTAAGTGTGACCTCCGTTGTTCCTGGAACCTACTTTTGGTTTTCTCGTTACTCAACTCAGTTCTAATTGGTCTTTTTACTGTGGCTTTTTTGCGTCCGGTGAGGCGCAAGCCGATGCGTGCCCGTATTAGGGCATGGTCGGAGTCCAAGCAGGTACTCCAGAATGAGCGACAATCTTCTACCGACCCTCTCCAAAGATGACTGATGGCAATATGGTCTATTTGAGTCCATCGTTGGTTTGGTGTAGGGGGTCGCCATGTTAGACGATGTCTCTCCTTATGCTTAAAATTTGTGTTTGCTAAGAATAAACGTTTGTCTGAGCATAGTTGCAGCAGACGATCACCATTATCTGTTCGTTGTGCCGGTATACTAAAATACCCACCTAAATGCCTTTCTGTTTGGTTTAAACTACCTATCTGGGCATTAAAGTCACCTGCTACGAGTACTATGTCTGAACGTTTAGCTTTCTGAAGAAGTTCAAATAGCTTTCTGTAAAATTCATCTTTCATTTCATCTGGGCTGCAGTCGGTGGGAGCGTAGGCAGAAACGACAAAAAGGCAACGACGTGTGTCCCTATCCTTCCGAGTTCTTACGGAGCCGTTTAGCCGAACAGCACATAGACGACTGTTGACGGGGATCCACTCTAACAGTGCTTGTTCCGCCCTCATGCTTAGTGCTATCCCTACTCCTGTCAGTCCACGAGAGCTGGCCATCGGGTCACCAGATACACGGAGGGTGTATCTCATTGGCTCTCCGTGTTGCCGAGGTGAGGTCAAGTGAATGACCACACTGGGATCCTGTATGCGTGTTTCGGAGACACAGCATACATCAATGGTACAAGATTCTAGGATTCTAGCCAAGGAAGCCTGCTGACCGATTCGACATAGAGTGCGTACATTGAAGGCTCCAATGTGTAGTGTGGAGCGAGGTTTCATTAGACCTGGGACAGTGTTTTAAGCACTAGAATCGTTGGCTATGGTGACACTTAAGGGGGAAGCCGAAAAAAGAAGTTTAGAGTTTGAAGTCGAGGTAGGAGGAATAATAGAAAGTGAGGAGGGTCACTGAGTATGAATACAATGATCTTGAGTGCTGTTAGAGCTATGAGGGCGGTTATCACTTCTCGGTTGCCCACACCGTGGAAGGGTTCTTCTGGAGGTGTACCTGAAAAGGAAATCGGAAATGAGAAATATTCACCGGCTCAAATTATCATATCTCATTGGCACGGCAAAATGAACTTATCAATATGTACAGTAAAGTAGACAAATAATTTAGTGGCAAAGAAACCTTAAAAGCATAAGCATTAGACCATGTTTCGAAAACACACTGAAAATGTGTATATGAAAGAATACTGGATTTCACGGTCAAGATAACTGACAAGTGGTGTATGCATCTGCTCCATTTTAAATAATCCTAAATCACGTCAGCCACCATTCCTAACCAGTAATCGCAGTCATCTTGTGTACTATAACAACTAGGCAGTTCGCATCTACGTACATGGCCCTGACGAACAGTCAATTGTTTCATGAACTAAAACCATATATTGCTTTACCCGTTCCTACCTTTTCTACATCCTACTCCAAGAGCAATAAATAACGATTGTCGAGGTAAGCTTGACACTGTATGACTTTGTTTGGTGTATCGTTGCTGAAGATAACTGGAACAACCAAGATCCTTGGCCAAACAGTTAAGATAATTCTCTATCACTTGATCAAAAACATTGTTATTATTTGCCTTCTCAGAGAAGCCTGAATTTACAAATGTGTTGGTGTCTTAGACAATTTATGCTGGTTTAGTTGTCTGTCATATCTCAATGACGAAACGTTTAATATCGGTTAGAATTTTGTTATAAACTTTAGACAGGAACATACGGGCTTATTGTTACTCGTCATTTTTGTATATACATAGTTGTCATGGGATTTTTGCAGAGTTTGTTAAACGGTATGTACGTACATATTTACTCATCTGCTGTCGTTGGTGTTTGAATAAATGAACAAATCTTATAAAATCACTGAAACGTTGCTAGCTGAGGAATTTAAGGTTAGTTCCGTCCTATTTGCAGCTCATCAGCCAGATGTACATAAGTCTCCCAGTCCAGTACTTTTCTCTTCGGACACTGATTATTTTAAGAATGATAGAAAACGGTGAAATAAACGGACATTTTTGCAGACGAAGGGCAATGAAAATTTTTATAATTAAAATAACATTACGACAACAAATACGGCTTTAAGTTAACTTAAATAATCAATCCGTTTTCGTTATACATAAATTAACTTTAATTTTTTAGATCGTAATTATGGTTCCTGTTTTTTTGCATTTGAGATAAACAGCTTATCAGTCTTATTTGTCATTTATTATTTTTTATTTCTTTGTATGCTTCTACATTAGTTCTTAACATCCTTTTTGTTTTCGGTATAAGATTTATGTCGGAGGTTGTTAGGTTTCCATCACTTACATCATGGGATAATCCTAGTCAAATGACCATTAAAGACTAGGAAGCATCGGACAGATGTTTCGTCCTAACACGAGACTCCTCAGCGGTGCGCACTCATGGACAAACCGGAGATCGATCTCTAAATGCCATCTGAGTGGTCCACAGGTTAAGCGCATGCTGCGAAACCTAAGGTCCTGTACCCGATCTGCTGTTGGGCGTGCATGTGAATGGGTGGAGAGTTTCTATTTATCTGTATAATTTCATTTTCACTTCAGTATTTTCAAACCAACAGAGTAAAATGTTTATTTAAAAAAATCTCACTTTGATTTGTTATATATTTGCTTATTGGATTGTCTACTCATGTTTACTGTTATCAATTTATATTATCTTGAACTTTTTGTCGATAGCTTAGTCATGAAAGCGTTCGACCCACTACGTCCCAAGTTTGAACACTTTCCCCCGAACCTCGTTACCGGAAACCGGGTAGTTTTATCGCTACCCACAATTAGAGTATGTGACCCATAATTAAGTACTCGACTAAGGAGTTCATTTAATTTAATTGTTAGTTAGTCCAATATTCTTTTTTTCGAAGAGTATTATATTTTCCATAAATTCCCCAAAAATCGTTTAGTAGTTTGTCTGACAAGGTTCTCTCTGTGATATCGTCAAAATAATGAGTTTATTCTGTTAAGAAAATGTTTTCCGAACTATATATATTTAAATGTGTGTACCAGTAATAGAAACTTGTTTACACTTTCGTCTTATTTAGGCTTCCATGTTCATTTGTAACTTATTGCATTCTTGGGTCGTATATAGTTCAATCAGAAGCTGGCGACCATGATCCGACTCAACATATTGGCATAAAATATATACAAGATCATCCATTTGCTCCTCATATGCTTCAAACACCTGAAATGTTAGGAAGAATTGTTGAACTACACAAACTTCATCGGTAAGTTATATATACTTTTTTTGGTATGAGATTTCGTGTGGGATGTACACTACGAGTAACAAAAACACATCTTTGCTAAAATTACATCAGATATTTGTCTGAATATTATTTCTTGTTTGCTTCACCGCCTTATCATTTTTGCGACATTCATTAAATGCTAACATTATATAGCTGTCATCATTTAAAACCAGCTTAGTGTTAGAATTCTGGTTCCTTCAGCCTACCTGCTCATGGACGTTAGTTAAACAAAGGGTTATTTTTTCAAGACCGAAAATACAATGAACGCTTCATAAAACTCGAATACTCCGTACAATTTAATTAGCATTAAGATATTTTCAGTCAATAAGAAATGATGTAATATTTTTTTTATTGATATATTTTGTTAGCATGATTTCTCTCTCCCTGTTACTCTTTTACCATACTGTCACCACGTTCTATTCACATTAAAGGGCGTCATATTATTTATATGATACCTAGTTAACACTACGTCCTAATCAACTCAGTCAGTAACAACGTAAAACTTCGTGCGTACGTACGTACCTCATTTCAAGTTGCCATACCATACAATACAATTAATTTTGTCAATCCCTTTTATTAACTTATTTAACAGACAGTGTTATCCGAACAGTAACAATTTGTCTATTACTTTGTATTATTATGATCACTATCATGTCTGTACACACGTGTGTTATGATCACATGTGACTGCCTGCGCAAATATTCCTCACACTAACCTAAATGTTACTCACTTAAATGTCGCTCGATGAATTATTCGCTCTCCCATACATATATGTGCTTGAATCGTTCTAATTGTTTTCGCCTTGCTTTGCATCGTCTCGATTCGATTTGACTCTAAATCCACCTCTGTATTCGTTTGCTCACTCTCATTAACCTCTCTGCTCAGATACTCTTGATATGTTTGTAACTTTGTTATCTGTGCTATCCAATAAAATGTAGTCGCCGCATCGTATTGCTTTCTGAATTCGTACACCGTCGGAATTAATCTGATAACGGTTATCAGAGTGATTAGTAATCGAAGCCAAGCCACTACAACAGGTATTTTAGATGTTAGATTAATTAGAAGTTTCCTGTAATCTTTTTTTAAACGTATGCTGCAAGATCGTATATTTTTGTGTAATTCTTCAATTTCTAGACAGATTTATTCGTAGTCGAATTGTTTAATCTTTTTTATGTCAACTATCGCCAATCGTTACTTCTACGTTGTGGACGCAAACTTATAGACAGTAAACCAATTTATTATTTCTGCAAAATCATACGGTAGCTTTGTAAAATATGTAAATCATACACTAAATACGTCATTTACATATCTTGCTTTACTTGTCTTTTGCATACTTCATAATTTTTCCGATTCCTCTTCGTTCTCCTTTTTTTATTTCGCTTTACTGATGGTAAATATTCTAATTCACGCTACATACTACTTATATCTGTACGCATATGTAATGTAAGTCATATGCAAACTCAAATTACACTTCTTAAACTCCTTATCCACCATAAAATAATACTGCTTATTTTTCATGTCATTCTTTCTTTTTTGTTCTCTCTATCTAGTGGTAAAACACCTGAAGAGGCTGATCGTTTATTTTTAAATAATGCTCGTAAATTGGCCTTGTATGGTGTTGATTTGCATAAAGTTAAGGTGAGTTACTTTGATTGTGTATATGTGTGTGTTCTGTTTCACTTCATCCAACCATCCATGTTTACTTGTTTTTCTCCTGAATATATGTAACACGTTTTATTTAAATCATAAACTGATCTCATTTAGATCATCATCGGAACAGCTGTTTACTCTTAGCACTGTGACTTCTCTTTAGTGTTGATCCAAGAACGCGCAACTGGGAATTGAACGCTACATTATGTCTTGCTCTTAACCTCTAGACCACCTACCTGGCATCCCAAGGTGTATACACCCAACTGCAGTGAATTCACGATGTTGCGCGGCCATCTCCGATTGTCTTCGAGGATTACTCACTTCATAGCTGATGCGGTCGACATTGTGTTAGTTTGCGTGTAAAGCTTACTTAAAAGATATTTTTAATAGGCCTAATTCAATATGATAGAGTCAGTTAATGTATATTTAATGAAAGTAATTTTCTACTCATCTCATATCCACTGGTGTTGGAATCGTTTCAACGAACTACAGACACATACTAGCATAGTAAGATAAAATTATCACGAGAGATGCTAGATTAGTGGTAGAATCGATTAGGCATAATATTTGAAAAGAATGAATTAGATTTGTTCATGTAGTGTTATTACTTGTGACCTGTATGCCCTGTTAATGTATAATGTAACGATACCGCCAATTAGAGAGCAGTGAATTATCTATCGGACCAATGACGCGTAAACCCGTATGAGCAGCCTAGAGTATTTATCGGTCCTTCTTCCTGCCTAGCCCAGCCAGTTAAGTCGAGAACACCAATCTCAGCCTCTGCAATACAAATTATTTATTTCAAGCATACGGGGTTTATATACCAATCAGACAGACCACATCGTACCATAAAATAGGAAACAACATTTGTACAAGTTTTGGTCAAATGTGGCTGTGAATGTGAGAGGTAGTAATTAATAGACAGGGCATATTTCAAGAATGGTAAATCGTATAATAATAGTTCATAGTTCAAAATAAAGCTCATAATAAAAGGGACATGAATATGTATAGTTTAATTATTTAACAATTATACGATAAAAATATACGCATAGTATTGGTCCATAAATGGATCCCAAAAGTTACCATTCATTGTGCTTAACTGGATCTAACAAGTAGATAGTTTTGAAACTCAAGATCTAAGGGAAAACAAGGAGTGAATTTATCTACTACTAATTGTTACCGATTTCTAGTCCTGTCGCTTGATATCTTCACAATTCGTTACAATAACTCAACCATGTAGCACATCCCCACTAACACAATGTAATTCAAACAACAATTAGTGACTTCGTAAACTAATACCACATCAAAGTTTAATCGCTTTTAGCTTTCTTCCAACATACTCCTACACTACCGAACATCAAGGCAGTCAGTTGTTTTGCACTAATATAATTCAAACAAAATTACTACCAAAACTACGGTCTTCATTATTCGACTATCAAGAAATAGTTGACAAATGTTTGAAACTTTTATCGTAAGAAATTTCAGTTATGCTCATGTGTTGTTTATCTAAGGGTGTATATTTACGACTTGAAAACCCTTCGCACAATTTTGTCGGTTACTAATCTCTAATGTGCAAATTTTTGTCGACCCAACAAAATTCAATTTCCTGAACACAACAACCAATAAAATTATACTTCTATCTATCTTATCTGACAGAATCTCTGAAACCACTACCGAAATTTACTTATCAACTCAACTTAATTTTTGGTGGTAGTGTAGCTACCTCGACTTCAAACTCTAAACTTCTTTTTTCGGCTTCCCCCTTAAGTGTCACCATAGCCAACGATTCTAGTGCTTAAAACACTGTCCCAGGTCTAATGAAACCTCGCTCCACACTACACATTGGAGCCTTCAATGTACGCACTCTATGTCGAATCGGTCAGCAGGCTTCCTTGGCTAGAATCCTAGAATCTTGTACCATTGATGTATGCTGTGTCTCCGAAACACGCATACAGGATCCCAGTGTGGTCATTCACTTGACCTCACCTCGGCAACACGGAGAGCCAATGAGATACACCCTCCGTGTATCTGGTGACCCGATGGCCAGCTCTCGTGGACTGACAGGAGTAGGGATAGCACTAAGCATGAGGGCGGAACAAGCACTGTTAGAGTGGATCCCCGTCAACAGTCGTCTATGTGCTGTTCGGCTAAACGGCTCCGTAAGAACTCGGAAGGATAGGGACACACGTCGTTGCCTTTTTGTCGTTTCTGCCTACGCTCCCACCGACTGCAGCCCAGATGAAATGAAAGATGAATTTTACAGAAAGCTATTTGAACTTCTTCAGAAAGCTAAACGTTCAGACATAGTACTCGTAGCAGGTGACTTTAATGCCCAGATAGGTAGTTTAAACCAAACAGAAAGGCATTTAGGTGGGTATTTTAGTATACCGGCACAACGAACAGATAATGGTGATCGTCTGCTGCAACTATGCTCAGACAAACGTTTATTCTTAGCAAACACAAATTTTAAGCATAAGGAGAGACATCGTCTAACATGGCGACCCCCTACACCAAACCAACGATGGACTCAAATAGACCATATTGCCATCAGTCATCTTTGGAGAGGGTCGGTAGAAGATTGTCGCTCATTCTGGAGTACCTGCTTGGACTCCGACCATGCCCTAATACGGGCACGCATCGGCTTGCGCCTCACCGGACGCAAAAAAGCCACAGTAAAAAGACCAATTAGAACTGAGTTGAGTAACGAGAAAACCAAAAGTAGGTTCCAGGAACAACGGAGGTCACACTTAGGTAGTTCTGAAAACGAGGCTGACCCAGATGTTGCCTGGAAAGTTATACAAACAGCTGTGGAAACAGCAATGAAATCTATTAGTGACTTAAACCACAGAGTTACAAAGAACCAGTGGATTTCTTCAAAGTCTATCACACTGATGGAACATAGGCATACTTATCGACGTCCGACAATGGTGGTCTTTCTTGACTGAAAAGCAGCATTTGACTCGGTAGACCGCGAGATTCTGTGGCAGTGTCTGTCATTGAAAGGCGTACCCCAGAAGTACATAAACCTTGTAAAGGCTCTTTACTCGAACACTACCAGTCGAGTCAGAGCTTATGGCGAACTGTCATCTGCTTTTGCAACCTTAAGTGGTGTCCGTCAAGGCTCTCAACTTTCTCCATTTTTGTTTAGCTTCATCATAGACCTATTGATGGAAATGACATTCTCGTCGACTGAATTCTCGGGTATTGATCTCCTTCCAGGAGGTCCGCTTATCGACTTAGAATACGCAGATGATATAGTCCTGTTTGTTGAAGACCCTGAAAAAATGCAGTCTTTTGATAGCACTAAGCAACAATGCCAGAATGTTTGGAATGCGCTTCTCTCCCTCTAAATGCAAGTTGTTGCTTTAGGACTGGTCTACGTCAACACCTGAACTAAGGATAGGGAGTGAAGTAGTCAAACGCGTTGACAACTTCACTTATCTTGGTGTCTGACGAAATCTCAGCACGGATTCGAAGAGCTCGCTTGGCTTTTGCCAACTTATGTCACCTATGACGAAGGCGAGATATCCGTCTATCAATAAAAGGACGAGTATAATGCGCGACAGTTCGTTCTGTTTTAATTTACGGCAGCGAAACATGGCCATTAAGAGTAGAAGACACCCGTAAGCTACTAGTATTTGACCACAAATGCTTTAGAAATATTGCTGGCGTCTGTTGTGATCACCGGGTAAGTAATAGTGAGGTTAGACGCAGGGTATTAGGTAATGATAGTAAATCAGTTGATGAGGTTGTGGATCTTCATCGACTGAGATGGTTGGGCCACGTGTTACGTATACCCGAACACCGATTACCACGACGTGCAATGCTAACCGGTGTTCGGGACGGTTGGAAAAAAGTTAGGGGTGATCAAACCAAAACATGGCATCAGTGCGTGAAGACATTAACTTCTATTCTGAGCCATGTTGGTAGATGCAGACTACTTGGTTGGTGTCCACGTGACTATCGTGATCAATGGTTGGAGACTCTTGGTGACATGGCTCAGAATCGAACACAATGGCGTAGGTGTATACACTCTGTCTTCCCTTAAACTAAGAGATTAAAATCACTTCATATCTTTCTTCCTATGAACTAATTCTTTCTTCCTGTACTATATCCTTATTGCAATGTTTCTTTTATATATTACCACCTCCGAATTAACTACTTTTATGAATCCGGTGTCCATCTTGTTGTGTTAATGAGGTAAGGCAACTTGGACCGATGCACATATGTGCCTGGTCCTACGTTGTAGCTGACTGACTGACTGAAATCTTTCTGTCTTTAATTTATGGGAAACAATGAAACTCCATTGTTCATTAACAAATAGTGATTTACTTTTTATTGAATAATATAAATTTATTGAAATATAATTTATCATGAGTCATTACTTCTTTTAATGCATTACATAAGTAAATACCGAAATTGGTTTATAGTGTTTGGCCGACTAGTCAGTCATGGCATCAGATCCTCAACTGAGCGATAAACAGACAGATAAATGTTTTGTGAAGTCCAAGCAGTCCAACTATCTAAAATTAAATTAATGTTCTACATCCCTTGGTTTATTCATTTATCTGTATCTTGAATTCCACTAGATTTTAAGTTACCAGATTTCATCACTTATCTAATTGCCTCATACATACATACGCAAATAGACTTTGTGCGTGTTTATGTTCGCGTCTACATGTCTGTGTATCTACTTTTGTCAAAATCAGATTGGTTGTTTGCTATTAATATTTTGTCTTATTATCTATCGTTGATCCACAAATTTTACTAATCAGTCTTTTTATTTATTTAAGTAGCTGGCCTTATTCGTAGGATTTTCAAACATTAAATAAGTGACGTTAACGTATTACACATTTATTTGGTTTATCCATTTGAACTTATTGTTTAGGTCGTGTTTAACTTTTCCATATATTACATAAATATTAGTTTAATATATCAAATATATGAATATGTAAAACAAATATAATTACTGGCTGAGTATTAGTATTATTTGGAGGGGGGCAGGTAGGTAGTAGACCACATAAGTTTACCAGAACTACTAGTCGAATCGTAGATAATCAATCAACCTAAATGAAACGAGCTAAGACATATCAATTATTGATAGTTTGTAGAATTAATTATTTTAAACGCCAAATAATCAAATCAATGGTTAACTCACGAAAGAATAGGATACGTGCCTGTGAATTTGTTGCGCATTCAACCCTCAGTGTTCTATTCATTTATTGAGTTGATACTAAATATTAGAGCATCATTTTCCCTGAATGTTTCATTTCAAGCCCCAACTTTCACTTTTTCCATTCAGCGAATCGAGATGTGCTACGATCAGGTGTTGAGAGAAGGCATGTAGATAGCGTTAGATGGTAAAATGAAATCCACGATGCAGCACTGACACAGTATATGAGCGGGAAGATGTTAAATATCACACTTTTACTGAACATTGAAAGAAGATAGTTATTCTCAACATTTCCGAACCGTAAATTAGAATTACACTTCATTTATTTTTGGCCTGCCCAGTTGAATAATATCAATGGTGCTTTTGCAAATAAAAAAATTCGTTCAAAGCGAACTACATAAATTCATAACAGCTTATACTAATTACGGTACCTCGAATTGATCGGTGCATTTAGAGTATGAGATTTAAATTATTACTGGAAGTCCTTTGCTTTAAATTCCATAATGATTGAAACACATTATTTTCAACTTTATTGATGTGTTTTCACCACAATGCACACTTTTGGATTCATTGAGTGTCCAAGTAATTCGGTTCGAGTTTCATTTATCTTATTGTAACTACTACCTCGATTTAGTCGTTAGGATAACCCATAATAAACAACCCTTTCGAGCTCTATTGGATGGAACATTCGATCCTTTAGATTTTACCATTCTAGCCAAGTTGTTTGGAGAACGACATCAAACTCGTACTCCAAGAATGATGTTTGTGTAAGAGTCTTGTGATAGTAAGTTGTTTCGTTCAAACAGCTAGAATCTACACGAGGACGACGTTAGTAATAGTCACCGTAGGCATATTTGTAGATAAGGATAAACACTCCGTTTGAATGTTCAGTTATTATTTCCTCGGCAGATCCAGAAAACTCGGAAAAAAACCAACAGATACTTTGAAAACGCTAAGAAGCATCTTATCCAATTAGCATTCAGTATAAATTTTTCCATAAACATCTAGAAAGTGAAAAGTCACATGTCGAGTTTCTGGTTGGATGATTACCTTTACTGCCACTATGTTTAGTAGCGTTCCAGAGTTTTCCGAAAACCCATGGCCATCTAAAATACTATAACGACCCTAGATTTTCCGCACATAAAAGAACCTTTGGAGGAAAGCGTTTCTTCCATATTTAGAACCTTTTCCCTCACGTTGAGTTGCTGTGTAGATCTAGCCCGGAGGTTACTAGAAGAACTTAGGAACCGAATCTAGCGTTCAATTAGAAGACCTATCATTATTCTCCTACCAAATGATTATCAACTTAAATTACACTGCTGACATGGTTCTATTCTGTGCAAACTAACAAAATTCGTAGTAATAACAAAAGAATATATATGTGATGAATTTCTCTCTTACTACGTGTAACATCTTACATCAATGTTGAGTTTGGTGTCTAATAATAAAATAAATATTCAAGCTTGGAGGTCTCACCAAATCAGTCGGTGTGTCTGACAAAATCTCAGCGTAATACAAGAACTTCATGTGGTCTTCACCAACATGAAATACAAATGGTACCAGTCAAATATCCATCTATAAATGAAGAGGTGATAGTTTTCTACTCATCAGTTTACCCTACTGTTATCTTTTTTTGTGAAATTTAGCCTAGTAAATGTTAGTGACATGCACTTCACAAGATAAATTCACAAATAGTAATAAACACATATCAAATCGATTAGTGCGTTCATCATATATTCCACAGATGGTTAATGTTCTCTTTCTGTGCGAGTTCATAAAATTTCGCGTCGTTTGTTACACGTACATTGAATTTTTACACTATAAACCACTAAGTTGTGAAATTCTAAAGTCTCATCTCTTGTATCACTTACTTGGTTTTTTGTTTTACACATGCATAAGAAAATTATGAATACACACAAGTAATTTACTCTTTGTGATTGTCTAACGGACATATTTTTTCAACTTGCATTTATTTCCATCATGTTTTACAGTAATTAGAATATAATAAATAAAATAGATCTATGTTGTGAATGTGTACAGATTTCTATTGAGGATGGTGGTGTTGATCCACAAAATAAATGTAATTCTGAACTTCACGCGTGCACATTGGATTTTTTTTCAAGTATATTATTAGTTTGTTTTTATGCTTTCACTAGAAAATCTTCGTCTTGTTGTGTGTTTAATGCAACTAAAATGTTCGATATCTTTTCCCTATCAAATACACTTGATTTTTTCATGAAAAATGACACTAACCGACAGAATTGCTATTTCGTCACTCGTCTCTATCCCGAATGAATTGAGCGCAGTTTGTTTCTTCGTGTTAAAAGAAATAAACCCAGCCCAGTAGCCAAAAGATCGTCTTGAGTTCACTAACTCAGTGTACACTAAACATCTGTGTACTAATGCTTTTACTAGTATTTAAAATTATCTAATTGACATCGGTCATTAACAACAGAAGATTGAAAATATCATCTTAGTACCCTGTTCAATTAACCACTTGATTCCACAATATTTAATATCAGTGAAAGTAAAAGCGCAGAACTGATTTATATATAGTTGAGGTTTTATTTAATTTTATGCCACACAGATTCAACTTTTGACTAAGACTAATCAGGTCATGGTGTAAATTTCATAAGGTGAATAAATTTTTTAGTTTGCAATTACTAATATGTATATTTATAGTGTTCCCTCAAAACTCTAACTTACTTAGTTCTACTTCAGTGTTGTTTTCTCTCTATTTATCTCATCCATCATTTAGAATAAATTATACAGTATTAAGTATTATAATATTTTCAGAGTTTCTTCATCCAATGTTCTTTTTTCGTTTTTTTTACAGACGTCTCAAGGTCAAGATATTACTCTAGGTGTTTATTATGGAGGTATCCTGCTATACCGTAATCGTATTCGTTTAATGAGAATTAGTTGGCCGCGTATTATAAGTCTATCACATCGTGGACGTAATTTTATTATTGCACGAAGACCTGGTGATGATTCATTAGATCGTAATATGACTTTTAAATGTATTAGTCCTACACTGGCTAAACGATTATATAATGTTTGTGTGGATCATCATAATTTTTTCAGGTTAACCATTTTTTTCGTTGCTTAATGATAATTCTTTTGCATACAGTATATATATATATATATATTATTATTTTTTCCACTTCAACTTCCAAAATATCGCAATGTTAATACGTTGGACTTTCTGAAATATCGTTGTTGTTTCCTTCGTTTTGTTTTATTGTTTATCATAGAATCTAACACTATTTCTATCGACTTCTGTAGTACACTCGTCTAGACAAATATATCTCTTGAATAAGCTGATTTCCTTAGACGAGAAAATTATCCATAAATGTCAGTGAGCATTCACAGTAATTGGTTATAATGCCTGTCAACTGAGTCATTGATTTGAACAGTTTAGAGGTTTCTTATCGTTCTTACTCTTGTTTATCTTAATTTCGGATTTTCAGTCAGTTAGTTTAAAGAAAATTTTATCAGCGTAACTATAATACTGCATGTTGTAAAAACTTTGACCTTTAAATTGTTTTTAAAATAAATATCTTTTATCGCAAAATACATTTGATGATATCTAAGCCAACGGAAATGAAACACTGATATTTAAGACATAGATTAAAAGTAAAATTCATGTTTATTCAAACACAGATTCACTCCAACTCATGGGATTAAAAAATGGCCTTGAAACTATTGCAAGGGCTTTGGTCTGAGCACCCGGGTAGCATCACACCCCATACACAAATCAAGTGACTTGTGTGCCGCATATGTATTTGGTGCCCTTTTGTACCAATATTTATGTGTTCAAATATATAAATAGGTTACAGAGGCTGACAAACAGCCGAAGTAAATAATACAAAAGAAAATCAGTAACTTCTGTAGTAGTTTTGTATAATCAAAATGCAAATGCCTATAGATCTTATTATATCCATTTTATTCTTAAGAAAGCTAACCAACCTATTGATAAAGGTAAATTCCTACTTAAGTGATTCATGGAAAAAAATAAACATAAAAATTACAGCTAGTGGTATATGAGCAATCACGAATATGATAGAAGATGGGATTGTGAAATTCAACTATTTCTTCTAACATTTTCGTTGGAGATTTACGTCATCTGGAAAACTGACAGCCACTAGACAATCGTTAAATCCTAAATTGGGATTCATCACAACTGTGCACCCCATGACTCAGAATGTATTCAATTTGTAATCACTAGATCAGAGGTTCTAACCTCACATCACTTACTTTGGTTCAAGAAACCGAGTAGTATCACAAACCGTAACACATAAATTGGGGTTCATAATCAAGTACACGAATCTGTACTCAGTAATTAAGTTGCATCAGTTTTCGGCTTTCTACTTCAATCAAGTCATGATACATGGCGTGATTTTCATTCCTTTGTAACCGATATGTTATTTTCGACCTAATTGACTTTATAGGGTGGTGGGCTATGATATTGTACCAAATCTTGACAAAGTCCATCTCAAATCTTGTCATTAATAAACCCAAAGTTACGTTTATCATTATTAAATGTTGTGTAGTGGTTTTGTGGAGACTTTCACACTGACGATATATTTTTATCATAAGCTAATCTAATGTCATTTGAATAACAATTAAAAAGTAAGAACCATTAGGTCAACTATTTTGTAACAAGTTTTGTCTGTATATATATTGTTCTTCGGGAAAAAACATAATATTGAATGATCCGTTATACGCAACGTAGAATCTGGCACATGTTTACATTGATTCGATTTGCCATACCCTAATTGCACATCGAGATGAAATTACTTAGAGTAGTGGAGAAAGTGATGACCGCATTAATAGTCATAGAGAAAAGTTAGACATCGAAGATATGATTCGAGAAGAAAGTATAGTTTATCGGAGTGAAAAGAAACTTTATACGGGATGACAAGGAATGAATGCATTTGCGCCAATGGGAACAATTTAGAGCCTTATCACCCAGGGTCTCTAACACTAGTCGTGGAATGTCATTAATAAGCTGTTTCACTCGATTGTTGACTGTCTTGCTCTGGTCGTCAATTAATTTGTAGTGCTAATCTAATTACACTGTCAGCCAATCGAAATATAGTTTATATGTTCACAATGTTTTCAGATATTTTATCTATTCCATTGTAAGCTAGACACTGTACACTGGTCAACCCATTTAGCTTTCTGAAGAAGAAGAAACACTAATCCGAGATTATATTTAAAATTTATCATGCCGCATTTCAAATTTCTTCCTGTTTTTCATTTGCGAAAATATGTTTATTCAATTACTTACAAATACGTAAACCAGGATAAAGCCATTGATTTTTCCTCACATATATATTCATTTGTTCCTCGACAATTCGGAATCTTTTTATTTGATTTAAGGATAAGAAAAGCCACTGGTGCATCGCAGTATTGTTTTCTCTCAAGTTTTTATGAATTGTTGTATCCTATTCTTCGACCTAACCTTGCTTTTTGTTATTATGATTGTTATTACGATTATTTTGATTTACGTATGTTTACATAGACTTCGTGGGTCGTCTAGACCGAAAAAACCGAGTTTATTCCCTTCGTTTGCTACTCGCAAATATCATTATCCTGGCACAACTGTGAATTCATCGTCGATTGACGCTACTGTCGGTGTCGGTGGACATAATCAAACATCTCGACCTTTATCTAAATTTCGTCCAATGCCTGCCCATCCTTCAGAGACTGGTAAGAGTAATAGATAAGTTTCATTTGTTTTTATGTGTTATTCCATTGTGCTCAACATTAACTCATCGTGTATCGGTTTGTGCACTCTGTTTTAAGTCGTGATATGATGGTTAAACATAATGCTGAGTTGACTAAACGGAAGGTGTGGTGAGGCTCAGATTTATTTTACTTCATTGTGGAGCAACCACTTTAGTGGTTAATGTGTTTTACTTTCCACTACAAAGTCACAGGTGCGAGTCTCTGTGTATTTCGGTTTAGGCAACCAGGTAATACTAACTCTCATACAGGAAGTTTAGTTCGAAGCCGAATACATTGATCTTGGCAGTTGAGTTACATCTACCTATCTTGGTGATTACTGAATATTTTATATAGTTCTAAATATTCTAGACGTGATGACTATTGGTCTGGGCACCCCCAAATGCCCTGGTGTGACCGAGAGTGCGGTGGGCCCTCCCTCCCTCTTGAAATGCTCTCACACGGACATGCGTATACAGCCTCTGCCAGGGAAGTCCTACTCATTGCATTTTCGTGGCGGGGGTGTTGTTTACGAAAATGAGAGGACGAAAAGCGAATGTCCGGCGCTTTAACCGGATCCCAAACCAATGGTACACATGGGCTCTAGTATCCTGCGGGAATAAATGGCGTGTGAACCGATTTTCGGTCACCGGCTACCATGGGAATGCATCTCCTCACGATGTTCCACTGTCTTGTGGATCAGATCTTTAGGTCGAAGCCTCGGGGTGTGGTCCCCTAAGAAAACCACCTGCTTCGGTCTGTGCACCCGGGCAGTATCACAGCCCGCACATACACGAATATGGTGTGGCGCATATATATTTGGTGCCCTCTTGTACCGATATTTATGTGTTGAAATAATAATAATAATAATTGGTCTGGGCAAATACACGTAAATTTAATATTGAATATTATTGCTAATAATAAAGTCGTTGCACTGTAAAACTTCAATTTTTAAACCATCATTGGCCATAATGAAAATACATCTAAATTTTAAAGATCTGATTCAATTTTCTTTTTTCATTTGAACTAAGCGTCTAACCATAAAACATCAGATCAAGTTATACCAATAATAAGAGGTGATAAATTGTCTCCTTCATGTAATGAAATTATAAGAGATTTCTTGAATTGTTTATTCTGTCTGCGTAATCGTGCCGTAATACACGAAAGCAATTGTATTGATCTAGTCCGACTATTGATTAATTCTTCCTAGATTATCTATCTAGTACCGACGACCTTCTGCTTCACAACCATAATAAGATAGTGATAAAGCAACCGAGAACAATACTTAACAACTATTGGCCCAAAATACGATTCTCCCGCGTCTGATCGCGAATCGTTCACATCATAATATGAAGAATCCTTGCCACACAACAATATAATTAAGAAATTACGAAATGATCATAATTACTCCATATGTGAAAGTAAACTGAGTATTAAGTTCGTATATACGATAACAGTTTATACATCACGTAAAAGCTTACAAACAGTAGAATAAAATAATTTACTCACTCACCAATTATACTGCAAAAATGTTGACAATAATTTCTGATAGGGTACTTCCAAAGGTTCAATCCTCTTAGTATTTATCCTGTTAAAGCCTTTGCTCAAGCCTCTAAATCTTTTGTTTGTTAAATATAAGCTTAATTCAAGACAATACAACACTAACTATTAATCCCGTATGTTTTTTTTAAAATATAAACCTGATCAACAACAAATATGTGATTGTGATAATCTATCAATTAAGCTTTCTGACATTTTTGTTTGAACGTTTGTGATGATCTGTATGTACTATCGATTTCAGTGATGAATGTAAGAGCTATTATGCATAATATTGCAGTCATAAATTCAATAATTTTTATTATATTACATCTTAGTTTAAATTCATAACCTAACTTGGTGTTAGATTGATTTATGACCCAAAATACCAAACGACAATGCACTATGATTTGCGAAATATCTAAACCAATTTTTAAAGTCTAAAGTTTATCAGTAACCGTGGATTTTATTTACCTGTATTTTTTAAACGATTAAAGTTATAGAAAGTAACAACTACTGCTCCAAGGTCTTTATAATTAGTTTTATGTCAACTTAATTTGCCCACTAAAAGACAATTCACAAAATTAAACAAGGAAATACCTATATTTTATATATATTTCACAGCGTTGATATGATTACATCAAAAATTCTATGATCAAAGCAGTTTTCGGTAACTTATGAACCTTACAATTCATTATTTAGAATAGATGGTTTATGGCTAGAAGTTAGTATGCATTTCATTCTATTTGCGACACAGCTGGACATACTTGTCACACTCCTGTTGTAGTGTCCAGTACTGAGACTCGAATCTAGTACCTTCCATTTAAAAACAACTTTGTTATCCTCTGATCTACTGAGTTCCGGTAGCCGTTAAACTTTCTCAACGATTATGATGTTTGCATCGTGAATAGTAAGGCTTTACATAACTCTTATTGCAATCTCGTTCACACATCTGTTCTCTACATTTAATATTATTATCTATATCAACCTGATCATACCTGTAAGCTGTCATGAATTCTGAAATTATTATTTTCAGAATATGTATTATATGACTATTATTATTATTTCATTGTTGTGCTTACACCATACTTCCACTAATCCATTATCGTTTTTTCCACATAGGGTGGTTTACATTTGCTAACCGCGGTGAAAGTAAGTCATATCTGTATCATTTTCCCATATATATATAGTTTGAATAGCGCTTGTAGGTACAGGTTAGTGTGTTTCACATCGTTTCTCATATCATATTTAAATTTTTCTTCGGTAAATCGAAACGGATTGTGTTACTTTATAGTTGTGGAATTGTCGTCTAGTTATATTTTGATGATAACAATAACATATCAGGGTTTCCCTTTGACCTATAGTAAATTCTGTTTACAAACATTTGAGGATGCTTGTAATACACGATGCAAAGAATATGAAACTCGAACAGATTGGATGTCTGTTACATGTTAATAGCGAATACATGACTTTCAGGTTAACTTAATTTCAAATTCAGAAGTTCAAGAATTGAACTCGAGTAACTGTTTATGTAGTAACACTTAATGACCTTTGATCAAATAACAAAATTAGCAAAGTAAAAACTATGACAATCAACCAGGTGACACCAGTTGTTATTGTTGAGCTATGAACCAGGAAAATGTCATAGAAAATTTCTTTCTTGTAGAAAGAACTAACACATAATATCAAAGCACTAGATAAATCGATCTCTTAATGTTTATATGTATGAATCATATTCACAATTTACTCAATCCTAACGTTTATGTGTTTATCCAACTGCGTATAGTTAGTTCCAATTGATGTGTGTTGTCTGACTTCTACTGATATAAATCAGGCAACTTGATTATATAAGCTAATAGTCATTAATGTTTGTCGCATCTATATTTAACCTATTATTCCAAAAGAATAATAATTACGAAACTTTTTTACTGGGTACAATTTGTCAAGTCTTTACTGTACATATGTTTAATCATTTGACTACTTCATTATTATTCAACTGAACTATACGCTTTATCTTCGATAATCGAATAAAATGACTTTTATTGTGGGACAATATACGCAGTGTGTAAATCTGCAGTGCTATCAGTTAGTTATAATCGACTGAAATCAAGGAATAGCTTGTTTATGTTTAATTTTCAGCATTCAACTAGTAATAATGAACTACGAATCTTCAAATATTCTTCCTCCATCCCATCTTTAATGAACAATATCACTTGTCCTCACGAAAATACGCGATCACCACTTATCTCAACTCAGGATGTTCGGTTACCTAGTTCAGAAAAATGTTAAGGGATGGCCAAACCAAAATGTGAAGTCAGTTCTTTGAGTCATTAACTAATTTGTCCGAACGAATGCTTATGTTTGAAAATTATCTGATTGTAGTTCGTGAGTTTATTGTGATCGATGGTTGAAGACGTTGAGTGATAATACTCTGAATCGTTCTCAGTAGTACAAATATATTATCTCTCTACCTTCCCTTAGATCTTGAATCTTAAAACTTGTTGTATCTTCACTAATTCATCATTTCCGAATTTTCTGTATACTTAGTCGTTATTTCGTTATCGCTGTACTTATTCAATACGATGACTTGAATCGATGCACAAATTCGCTAAGTTTTACGTTGCTTATAACTGACTTATAAATGACGTTTATGTGTAATAAAGTCAGTAAGTTTCTAAAAAAATGTTTAGTCATAGTGCATATTGACTGACTTAATGGTTCTTTCCTTACTTTCTATTGCATTCATGGTATGAGAAATGATTTGGTTCCCTAATCAATGCTTCCTAGGCAATTTCGAAAGTTTTTTTAATCAGCTTTGCAATAGTCTCCACGAAAAGTGATAGTTTTACGTTGACCGGTTGTAGCTTTTGTACCACGATTACAGATGACAATATCATAATGGTTACCTGGCAAATGCTTCTCAATATACATAGTATTAGGGTATGATCACTGGTAAAGTCTATATACAAGATATTTTGATGTCTGGTAGGGCTATCGGCATACTGAGTCCACTGTCCAAGCTCTAAGCTCAATAAACGATCCAAAACCTTTCGGCGCCTTAATTGGAAACCAGGAAATTTCGGGCATGATGTAGGCATTCGAATATACTTGCCAGTGAATGATAAGGATAAGGCGAGTGTGAAGACTTCTGGTAATGTTACCATTCTTCCTGTTGGTTGATTAGATTGAACATAAAGACCTCCGAATAGCAAGAAAACTGAAATTGATGACTTTAGAACACCTTACACAATATTATTTGGTGTGTATAATCCTGGCATATCACATAGGAGCGAATTCAGGCTAGAGTGAGCATAAATAAGGTAGCTTCGGCCTCTTCCTTGCAACCTAATATTTCTATATGGGAAATAGTTATCAAGAGATATATTTGAATCGGAAATATTATTGGTTGTTCGTACTCCAGACATCATTACAAGTGATGGTTGATAAAGGGATACAAACAGGGCTTAATCCGTCCTTTCACTACAGATCGTCCAAGCTTTAATAAAACATACATTAAACAAATTGCCCTCTGCATCTCAAGCCTGGACTCAGATTGATCACATCGCGATCAGCTACCGCTGGCGTGGTTGTGTACACGACTGCCGCTCCTTTTGGAGTACCTATCTGGACTCTGACCATGCCTTGGTCTGCGCCAATCTTGCCTTACTTTTCAGTGGACAACGAAGTGACCGCCAGCAAAGGATTGATATTAGCAAGCTGGTTGCAGCTTCTGTTGCAAATAAGTATGGAGCCGAGCTAGCCTCTAGGCTAGCTACCACTCCACCGAAAAGTATAGATGAGCATTGGTTGCAATTGCATGACGCCATAAAAATGGCGGGAACAGTCAGTTGTGGGTTTGCGAAACGTCCCGCTTTTAAGCACTGGGTTTCTTCTGGTTCCTTACAACTCATTGAAGCCCGTCGGTCTACTCCGGGTGACCGTGAGTTTGACCATAAACGAAGGATGTTACGTACTGAAATTGGGCAAAGCTTGCGTAAGGACTGAGAAGCCTGGTGGTCGAAGCGTGCTAACGAGCTGGAAGCAGCAGCTGCATCTGGTAACTACCGGAAGCTCTTCCAGCTCATCCGAGCCACTGGCAGCAAGAAGTCTGGTGTGAGTGAAACAATCTGCGAGGATGATGCGATGCCAATCACTAACATCCATCGACGTCTTGGACGGTGAGCAGAGTTTTTCGAAGGGCAGTTCAACTGGCCTGCTGCTCCGGCAACATCGGTCAGATTGTCCTGCCCTCCATGGCCGGTGACGACTGATCCACCAAATGAGGAGGAAGTCCGCAAGGAACTCCAACTCTTGAAGCGTTACAAATCACCTAGCCCAGATGACTTACCTCCGGCTCTTTTTAAAGATGGTGGTGACTTTTTGACTAAGGAATTGACGACGTTGTTTACAAAGGTTTGGGAACTAGAGAGTGTACCAACGTCATGGAATGAGTCGATAGTTGTCCCTATCTTTAAAAAGGGTTCACGTCGTTCCTGTAACAACTAGCGGGGGATAAGTCTACTTCCGATTGCGTCCAAGCTATTGGCTTCCGTCGTACTTCGTAGGTTGTTCAAAACCCGAGAAAGATTGACTCGCGAGAAGCAGGCTGGGTTTCGTTCTGGTCGAGGATGTATTGATCATATCTTCACCCTCCGCCAAATGTTAGAACACAGCCTTACTTATCAAAGGCCAACAATCGTAGTGTTTCTTAACATCACGGCTGCCTTCGATTCGTTGGACAGGACTGTTCTCTGGGATTTTCTATTGAAGAAGGGTGTGCCTGAGAAGTTTATTAACATCCTAAAGGCCCTATATACAAACACCTCAGGTAGAGTGAGGGCATACAACCACCTTTCTCCATTGTTCCATTCAAGCAGTGGGGTTAGGCAGGGTTGCACAATCTCACCATTCCTCTTCAACTTTGCCATCGGCGACATTCTGAAAACAGCCCTGATGGATGTAAATAATGGTGGTGTGGATCTGTTGCCTGGAGAAAGACTTCTCGACCTTGAGTATGCGGACGATGTTGTCTTACTGTGCGATAATGCCCAAGGCATGCAATCCGCACTTAATCAGTTGGCAATCAGTGTCCGTAGGTATGGTATGTGCTTTGCACCTTCGAAGTGCAAAGTACTTCTACAAGACTGACAGGATTCCAATCCTGTACTCACCCTGGATGGTGAGCAGATAAACGTAGTCGAAAAGTTCGTGTATCTGGGTAGCTGCATAAGTGTTGGTGGGGGTGTGAGTGATGAGATCAATGCACGAATAGTGAAAGCCAGAGTGGCTTATGCCAATCTGGGCCACCTTTGGCGCCTTCGTGATGTTAGTCTGGCTGTAAAAGGTCGGATCTACAACGCGTCGGTGAGAGCAGTTCTGCTCTATGCTTATGAAACCTGGTCTCTCCGAGTTGAGGATGTTAGACGACTCTCTGTGTTCGATCATCGCTGCCTCCGAAGGATTGCTGACATTCAGTGGCAACACCATGTCAGTAATGCAGAGGTTCGGCATCGTGTGTTCGGGCACAGAGATGATAATTCAATTGGTGTCACCATCTTGAAACACCGACCTCGGTGGTTTGGACATGTTCTCCGAATGTCGTCCCAGAGAATTCCACGTCGTGCATTATTTGCCGACTCTGGTACTGGTTGGAAGAAGCAGAGAGGTGGTCAGTGCATGACATGGTGTCGTGGTATGAAAGAAAGCTGCAAAAGGCTGGCTTCAGTCGGTCGTTCACGACTCCCTGGTTGGGGTCTGAGAGATGGTGCTACACAGTGGCTAGAGACGTTATCAGATATGGCTCAGAATAGAAGCCAGTGGCGATCCTGCTGTAACATTCTTTTACTTTCTTCATAAAAAGTGGTTGTGTCTCCCTTACCTGAAAGATTTCTTCTGATTGTACCTTTTCGTTCCCTCGTTACTACCACACTACCTTTACACCAATCTCTTCGTTATTGTTCTCTTTTTCTTTTGCGCTCCTTAGTTGTTTTTTTTGTACTTCTCTTTGAATTTTCATTGTTTTGTGTGGCGCATATATATTGGCGCTCTCTTGTACCAATATTCATGTGTTCAAATAAATAAATAAACAAATTGCTCATTGGGTGAGAGCATTTAGATCAAAAGAGTTATCACATCCCTCAGTAGTGTGATGTAGGTTTAAAATGAAGGGTTGGTGGTCCCTCAACAACACTTTTTTTATAACAACAGTTATAGGGGTATATAAATTGAGCTAGTGAATTTGCTTGCTGAGTGCAAGCAGGAGGAAAGGGTGAGAATACTGGATGACTGAAATTGTGAAGAAGTAGCAAGTTTATATTTTATATACGGATTGACATGGCTTTAATGTGATGACTCGCCAGAGGTGATACTAAGAGCTGTATTCGAAAATATATATTGTACGAAGTACCGCTATTTGTATCGTAGTCCTGATAGCAAAGCACGTAGCGTGGGCTAAAGCTATTTGCATTAGCGTCAGCTTGAAGAGGATTTGCTGCACTTAATTAGAAGTTGTTATGACCGTTTTTATATTTTGAAGCCATTCGTGTTTGGTGGGTTGGTACTGTGTCAAAAACCTTTAAGATAGTACCGTTCACCGAAAAGTATCAGTTAAGTATGTTAAAATACTCCCAGGCGCATTTAACTCAGTCTTACCATTGAATAAATTGACAAAAGTTTGAGTCACGAAAGAATTAAAAACACAAACTAACCTACTGCTAACCACAGATAGACAATCAAGAAGTGCAACACAAAGGTTCTCTGCAGCTGATGAAAGGCAGACAAAAACACTCAGTGCACATAAATATATGTTCTTCGGCGTTTTCCGAATTATACAGATCTCTTAAAGGCACATGTGCTACTAAGTTAAGCTAGCCTACAAACATGCCACAGACCTGAGGCACTTCTAACACGTATTAACTTATTTGAGGCAACCCATCCAAGGTCGTCGTAATAAAAAAGCAGTGATTTTATTTTTCAAGCTAGCTTTGATTCTGTGCTAGCGAACATACATCACTTTTGCGCGACAGAACCAACAGCAAAACTGGCTGATAAAACCCAGTTGTTTGCAATGGTGGAGGTAAAGGTATGCCTTTTGTTAAGTAGAACATAAAATAATCAATAATAGAACCTCGGATATATCATGTTAATCTGTCACTTTTTATCCACTATGATCCCCATTATCTAACAGTTAAAAGTTCTGATTGCCAATCCATTAGGTAATCTATATCGACACCGTCACTTAATTGCAGGGAGAGATATGTTTGTGCTTATAATTAAGGTCATAATAATGTCCTCAAATATTTATTTCATCATTGTGAGTTATTGACTGATGTAAATGAAAGTTCCCTTGCCTACACTATAATTTAACATACAACACATTAGCTTACTCACTTATTGGTCAATGCTGATTTTCATTTTGAAATATACTCTTAATCTATATAAATGTAGTGTTTATAATAATATTCGGTCACATACCGCTGCGTGTTTTTCTTCTAAATCATGTCTTATTAACCCTTTGATAATGGTATTTATTGTTATTAATTTAATCGGAAGGCACAATTTTTACAGTTTGTAATTATAACGGATTACGAATCCCACTGTAAGTAATTTTCTTTAGAGATAATCATGTATGACATAACTGTCCCCACCTCACGCAAAACACGGACGCTGGATTGGTGACTCATTGATTAATATCTCCAACTTTCAGCTCTTTAGGTTCGAGTCCTCATCACTTTGTGTATTATTACTGGCCCTCAAACTTAGGACCTGACTTGAAGCAAAGTAAACTAATCTGTAATGAGTTAACAATAATATAAAGCTGTTAGTTTGTTTTCTGTTTGTCTTTTCACTTTTTTTCCTTAACCTGACTTACATCTCTAGGTAACGTAATGCAGTTTCGTTTACCATGTGCAACAGGTCCATGTACTCGGCTTTGAGTAATACTTTTTCATATATGAGGTCTGTTGATAAAAGCCAGCTTGCCTAACTGAGTGGTAATTTGAACCAGCGACATACTGGTGGAGATCTTAACCTACTAAGAGTTCTACTAATATCGAATTCCAACTTACCTGGCAAATGATTTGTTTACATTAGATCTCTTAGTCAAGTATTAATCTAGAAAAATTATTACCATATCTTTTGGAATGCTTATTTGATTACTGTAATCTTCTAGTCAGTTGGTATTATGTAATACTCACTCTTTACAATATTCACGATTCGCATTTAATGTTACGAATACGCTAACATATTCATTTTGTTGTGATAATTAACAGAATCATAAGTGGTGCTTGCTTTGTTATTATTTAAATTTCGTAGTTGTCCACCATTTTTCTCCAATTGTTATTTTCATGCAAATCTTAAGTAAACTGGTTTTATGTAAATAATAATTTCCTTAATATTTTATCAGTCACCTAGTCAGTTGTTATTTTCTACAGTTTTATTCATATTTAACAATCAGCTCTGTGGTCACATTATTTGATTGACCATTTAGATTCTTTTAAATACGTTTTTTGAATTCACTATTGTTCCATCTCAATAAAAATTATATTGAATTTAATTTTCCTTTGATTTATTCCTCGATAATCTTTCGTCATCCTTTCGTTGCTTGAATTTACAGCACTTTTTTTTCTCAATTTGACAATTAAAAGAAATCTCGGGCTGAATATTTGGAAACTTTTTAGATTAAATAATTATGTTTTAAAAACGAAAACTAAATATACTGATAACATTAAACGGTAAAAGTACCGTTTAAGTTCAAACCAATTTATGTTCTCACTTGAAATTTAAAAAAAAACACTTTTCACTACCTTATAGTAAACACCAGATACTCAGGTCTGTTTTTTTTAGCGTGTAGTTATCAAGGAATGGGCACTATCCGAATTTAAGTACCCTAATTTTGTTAATACTATGTGATATTATTGCTTCGTTTTCCATGAACTATCAATTTAATTATGGTGTTTGCTATTACCTAAGAACTAGCTGAAAGTTCTTTGCGGTTGTTTTAACCCCATTCCTTCACCGTACTCTTACTTATTAGATAAACGAATTTATTTTGTATTCTGTAGCGGAAAAGAAGTTGAATATATGTGGTTCTCCTTCCCATCAGTGCTGCCATTTCTTCTATTATTATAACTTATTCGACTAAATAATGGATGATATTATGTATATGGCACTTTTAATGAAATAAAGTCCAATTTTTATAATAAATGAATTTGGTTACATTGAAAATTCGCTTGAGTTTTTTTCGCTCTCTCTCTCTTCAATATATTCATTCTAACTATTTTGTTGTTTCACTGGTTGAAATCATGAGTCGGTTGAAGCTAGATCAACGTGGAAAACCTTGAAGCACTAGATGGCTGTTTCGTCCTAGTATGGGACTCATCAGTGCACATCCATGATCCCCCCCGCGAAATCCGAACTCAGGACCTATCAGTCTCGTGCCAGGCGCTTAACTATCTAGACCACTGAGACGGGATCCAACGGTGTTAATGTCTAACTCCAACCAATTCTAAAATATCCACAAAACCCCTGATATTTTGTTATTGTCTTCTTTTTGTTGATTCTGTTTTTGTCAATTTTCAGTTTCTGTCCCATTGACTTACATGCGTATTATTTCCGAGAAAATATAAATTCTTTCCTACGAAAGAATAAAAATCAAAACGGATCTCCCGACAGAAAAAATTGATTTAGTTTATATGACTGATGTTTATCAGTACTATTAGTAGTTGTAGTCAATCAGCTATCTTGAAATAATATTGTTGTTATTGTGAGATTGAAAGCTGATAGATAGCTTAGTGATGGGTTGGTTGCTAAACAACACTTAGGAGGCGTAACTGAACTAAATCATTACTGGCAAATAAAATCATCCTTCAGTGACCATGCGAACTTGTCTCTTTTCGGGGCCTCCGTATACCAATGTTTACGTATTTAAATAAATAAATAATCAGGGGGAAATTTTATCTTTCTCGACATACCTATTAAATACCACCAGACACACTTTTTATATTAGAAATTGATGTGTAACTAATATAATCTGCAAATTATATTGATCTCTAGGAGACTCCTACAAATAAACCATAATTATTGTTGTAATCCATCTTGTCTTTAATACTGCTCCATATGTAAAAATATGCCTGTTACTGTAGATTATTAAATAAATGAATATCAAATGGTTGGGTTTTTTATCCATAAAGAGTTTTGATAGATTCAATGTAAGCATTCAATTCGTATTTTATCTTAGTTTACTGGTTGTTTAGCTCTAGACTAACCATTTTTTTAAATTTCCCAACATTAATAACAAATTCCAAATATGAGTCTTCTCTCTCTCTCTCTACTATATTCGACAGATATGTTTGCTGGATTTAAGATACCTGAGTATAGTTTTAGTCAGAAATAGACGATGACGACGTTGAGTTAATGATAATAACAATAGTTGTCTGTTTATTAACCTTTAGTGGATCATATGAATGGTGCAGTCGCCAGTCAATATCAGTACCAACCAGCTATGGTAAGTGGTGATCCAGCCTGTATGGATCCCACTTATTTCTGTAATCAAAATGTAATCAATGGACTGCCCCTACCAAATGCCCAAGGTGTCCAACGCTATTACCAACCAAGTAGTAATGATGTTACCGGTTTAATGAATGGTCATCATCCTAATAGTAATAATAATCATATCAATAATATGCCCACAATGATTACTAGGATATCATTTGAACCTGAACACTGGCGTATAACTGGAGCTGATTGTACAGCAGGCTTAGGAATAGATGCTCGGGGCTTAGATGTTGCATCTACACGCGGAGCTGGATGGCAAGTAAGTACAAAACTTTATCAAGCATGTCTATGAATTTCATGTTTTTCTTCTTGTTTCACACTCTCCCTTTCACATATTTTATTAATGAAGCTTCATGTTTATCTTGTGGTTCTTTAAAGTGGTAAATTGTGTTCACCAAATTTACAGAAGGCTCGATTAGCTTTTGCCAACTTGCGAGATATCCATTTATCAACCAAAGGACGTGTTTACTGTGCAGCAGTTCGTTCCGTCCTACTTTATGGCAGTGGAACATGGCCGGTAAGAGTAGAGGATACTCGTAGGTTACTAGTATTTGATCATAGGTGTCTTCGAAACATTGCTCGTATATCCTGGGACCATCGAGTAATTAATGTAGTTGTTAGGAAACGGGTACTAGGTAAGGATGGCGAATCGATTGATGAAGTAGTGAAACTTCATCAGTTGAAATGGCTGAGACACGTGTTACGTATACCCAACGACCGTGCGATGTTCAGTAGTATAGGAGTAGGTTGGAAGAAAGCTAGGGGCGGCCTGACCAAAACGTGGCACATGTCCATGAAGTCACTGACAAGTGGACTGAGTCATGTTGGTAGGTGTAGAGTACCTGGTTGGGGACCACGAGATGATAGCAACCGAGGGTTAGAGACCCTGAATGACATGGCTCAAAATCGTTTGCAATGGCTCAGGTGCATACACTCTTTGTGTTGTCCCAAATTCTAATCTCCTGATTCCTTCTTGTCTCTTTTTTTCTCTTTCCAAATTTATTTCACTGGATTATAAATAACATCTCCAAACCCTAATCTTCCCGATTACTACTTATACTCTTACTACCTCTGCCACTACGGGATTCGAATCGACAACTGCATCTCTGTGCTAATGTGGTATGACAACTCGAACTGGTGTACGTACGTACGAAGTTCTATGTTGTTACTGACTGACTGAAATTTAAATTATTGACTTACTACTTGTATAATTCACCTTTTGGCAATCCGGTGAATTTCGCTTGTTATTGGCTAATTCAGTGTTTTCCTATCGACATATACTATTCATGCTCAATTTCGACTTATTGTCTTGTTGTTTCAAGCGTTTCGGATTGATTTTATTAGAAATTAGAAGATATGATTAGTTTGAACTATACTATTTGGGTAAACTATAACTTTCTTTATCAGTATACCTATAATCTTGACGAAATGTATGCTTATTCATTGATCCAAGTCTTGGTCGATCATCACTGTGATAGAAAAAACTACACTTAATCTTCTTGCAATAAGTACCATTAATGTTGCGTCCGTTTGTACCAACATAACAGTTATTTCCATAGCCTAGTTTCAGTATGTAATACTGTTGATTAGCCCATAATAGTTCTTCTGTCCCTAACCTGTCCGATCAGACAAATAAATTCACCTTGTACTATTATACACGAATCACCAACCCACATGATCATATACACCAAATAGAAGACAATACTGCACTATGACTAAGACAGTTCAGTCTTTATATAACTGGGTCATCTGGTGTACGAAATTAGCTGACCAGTACATAATGAATCGCAACTTTTGTGTATGTGATGTGACTCATAAACGGTTTATAAGTTAAATAAAATGGTTCTCAAGGTCCCACCTATCTCAGTTTATTCTAACACTACTAAATTCACATAACGATTGAGACACTTAACAGATAATAGCAATCAGATAAAGTTATCATAATATATGGATTTGTATTGACTTTTTCCTACATTACATATTGGCAAGTTTTAATCTCAGTTCATGAATGGTACTTGGAATACTCGTAGTTAATTGCGCGTCATTTACTAACTAACTCCACTATAATAGTATTCCTGTAGACTAATATGATTGAGGTCAGTCAATAATATCAAATTTTAATGTATGATTCACCCTAGTGTTTCCTTCTCTCGTTTTTTGGAACCATGTGCGTTCAAGGTTATGTGTCCCGGGACATATTTCTACGTGTTTTATGTGTTTTAATGATCTTATCCTTATACACTTTATCTTTTATTTCCTCTAAGTGGTAGCTGAGTCATCACTCTGCTCATTTATTAATTAAGTGGTGTCTTTTGTACACTAAAATTAATTATAGCATACTGTGCAAATTGTTACGATACGCTTAAATTGAATTCCACGAGAAAAAAATGCATATACCATAATTATCAATAATAATTCTGTGTTTTCATAGGCGACGATCGTTGTGAAAAAACGTTGATTTCAGTAATAATATATTCTAACATCAGGTGAAGTATATTGCTTTGTTCAGAATTTTTAGTAAGCTACTTGTATATGTACTAATCCCTATTGTATATTCTCATTTTTGACACTTATCATCTCTTTAATAAAAAATCACCTTGTCAATGGATTGTCTACACACTGTCTAATCTCATGCTATATTTCTGTCTTTTTTCTTTCATTCAGGGTTGTAGAGCTAATAAAGGTGTAAAAGCTCCAGGTGCATATTACTATGAAGCGGCTTGTTTAGAGGAAGGACTTATACGTGTCGGTTGGTCAACTAATGACGCCAATTTAGAACTTGGTGCAGATAATTATGGTTTTGGTTATGGATCCGATGCTGTAGGCTCTGCTGGTATGAATGGCACTGGACGTGTAATGCATCGGAATACTGGTCATGATTACGGAATAATGGTTCATCAGGGTGATGTAATTGGTTGCCTGTTAGATTTAGACAAAGGATCAATTTCTTGGTCATGTAATGGAAAAATATTTCAACGTGCATTCACTATACCTGACCAATTAAGAGGAGAGGCTTTCTTACCAGGTAAATAAAACCATTAGGTTACTAGTTCGAATATTATATTTCATGTTCCAGCAATGCTGTTCATTTATTATTATCTAGATCATTGAATGTACATGTTCATGAAAGATATTGTATACATGCAATTAGGATATGATAAATTTGATTTCACCCTCCTCTTTCGTGAAACTCTTTAGTGTGACGTCATTCCAAACTTTTAGTTCTCCAATCTCATTCGTTCCTTTTAAAAAATCTCGTCCTTTTTTTATTATTCTCTCTCAAATATCTCTGCACTATATATTAAATCTAGTTTTTTTATCGAAAGATTAAAATGGGTTATTTGCTCCTTTTTATTTATTACGTTATACCATATAAGAAAATTAAAAGTAATGAAACGATATATATTCTTCCCTTCGGATGAAATCAGCGGTTTTTCTCCATGTTATTTATGAATTCGGCTTTTCTGGGGTGTTGGTATTTTGTAAAACGTGTACAAAAACCACCACGTACCTTGACACACGGTAATTACTGACCAAAATTAGTATGCTAAAAGAAAGCTAGTTATTGGTATATCATAAAATAAATATGGTCTATAAATTCATTAACTTTCGTTGGACCGACCCATGTTGGCAAATAAGCGCTACCTCTACTTTTGTGTAAACGAGTTAGTTACATTAAAAAAAACATATTAAGTCCGTATAAAAAGTCAGGTTTATGTAAAGAAAATAGTGTATATCACATTTTCCGATAGTAATTTGATTCTTTTCACAGGAAATATTTGTAGATAGATAACTTTTTCATTTCATTTTACTACTTTTGATGGTCAATAGTTTTCGACGAAAAAAAGGCAAATTAATGAATCATTGTGTTCCACAAAGTTGCCTACGACTGTTCTCTTCCTCTTTCCTCCACACCGCCAAGTTCTTCACTTGATTTATTGCTGATAAGGAGAATGTGTGATATTTTTTGTTTTTAAATGTTAACGAAAATGCTTTCATTTTTTACATGAACACTTTTTCGCTTATATTCTTAGGAGAGAAGTAAAAGTAAGTAATTTCTGACACAATCTGAACTGAAAGTTTGTTTGCCTGTTTATCTCGACAATACTATCCATCTGAAAGAAATAAAGTATTTGGATTAGTTCAGCTTACATAAGATATTATAAATTAAAAGAACTCTTATATTATGAATTTGAACATTGGTTATCGCTGAGTAGTCTAAAATTTCATGTTAATCTAGTCTCCTTTGTTTTGACTGAATTCTATCGATCCGTTGCACATTCCCAAAATCACTTCTCCGTACGTAATCTTTTTTACTACCACTGTTGCTACTTCTACTATATGATTTGTCTTAAAGTGATTTCATCTCACCGTGCTAATGTGTTGTGCCAACTTGAAACGGTGCTCATATCTCAGGTTCTACTTTGCGTATAAATGATTGACTGAAATAATTTAATTTATTGTTGTAACTTGTGACCGCCGAATAGAGGGCAGTGTATTATCGATCAGACCAAGGACGCGTAAAACACGTGCGAGCAGCCTAGAGTCCTGATTAGTCCTGCTTTCCGCCTAGCCCAGCCAGTTAAGTCCAGAACACCAGTCTCAGCCTCTGCAGTATGAATCATTATATTTCAAACATACTGATTTTATATACCAATCAAACAGACCACAACGTACCAATAAAATATGAAATAACATTTGTACAAGAATTAGCCAGATGTGGCTGTGAATGAGGGAGATAGTAATTAATATACTGGGTCTAACTCAAGAATGGTAAAACGTATAATAATAGTTTATGGGTCTAAATAAAGCTTATAATAAGAGGAGTATGAATATGCATAGTTTAGTTACTTAATAATTATACAATAGAAATATACGTTTAGTATTGGTCTATCAATAGATCTCAGAAGTTACCATTCATTATTCTTGTCGGGACATAACATTTATATTTCAATCTTTAAAGTATTTCACATCTCTCATGTGATCGTGTTTCTTTTACTATTTTAGCGGCTAGTCTAAAAGATTCACGTATCCTATTTAATTTCGGTGAAGAACAACCGTTAGAATTCCCACCAGATGGTTCATTTATTCCTGTAGCTCAATCTGCTGATGATAGTCAAGTATCTAATCGAAATCCTGGTTGGCGCATGAATCAGTACGATGCAACGAATGCTTTAGATGTTGCACCCGACGGTAGTCAAGTTCAGTCACATTTTAATCAAGGTTGGCAAGGTTGTCGATCAAATCATGTAAGTGTTCTTCGTTTGCTTGCGTATATTGCTTTGGCTTTAATAGAATACTTTGACGTAAAGATTTTGTAAAAGTATATTTTGAATGTGTAATCTTTTATATTATCACTTATATTGTTACTACCTCTACTACTCTGAGATCTACCCTGCACCATTTCATCTCGTTGTACTGATGGTGTGTGGCAATCTAAATTGATATATACAGATGCCTGGTTCTACGTTGTGACGGTCCAACAGAAGATAGATGTAATGCATTTTTGAAGCTTAAATCAATAGTCGTGATAGGCTAAACAGCCGTCAGAATTTACATAGTACGATCACCAAGCTGCTTTATCCTTAATTGACGTGTACTTGTATTTGAAGATATAAGGAAAAGAGTGAAGAACATGAGAAAAAAGGTGATCCGATCTCTCAATCAGCACATAAAATCCACTCATGTTTATTAATGAAACCAGTCGATAACAATTGTCAATAACAAGGGCTTCAGATTAAGGCAGTTTGAACACCGAAACTGACGATTTTGAGAGTGAGAATTTGAATCTATTGCAGTGTAAACACCATTTTGTTTAATTTAGAGAAAAATACATAGAATAATTAGTTCCCTGATGCATCAGGGAACTCATAACTGTATGTTTTAAGGTTAACTGTATTGCGTTTATTATCGTTCACATTCTGTTTCATTACAATACATTTTTATACCAAATAATAGAAATGGTGGAATTTTACCATCGTTACTTTTAAAGTTTTCGACTCAACTATTTTGGAGTGATATAATCATTTATAGGTTTGTAGAAAATAGACGAAATAACGTTCGTACGCAAGCACAAATACACACGTTTAATGGTCTACATTCTTGTTACTTTTAATATACATATTTAATGATTGTTTTTTGTCTCGTTTTTTGCTTTCCCGCCTTATCTATTAATGTTGTTATTGTGCATTTTTAAAACAATAAAAAGCTGACGCTTGCTGATATTGGTAATTGTACTAGTATATACTTCTAAATTTGTAACGATTATTTTGAATATTTTATTGGAAAATTAATCGTTTATATGTGTTAAGTTCAGACAGAAAGAGATGGTGATAGGTGAAAACGATATCCAAGTCGAAGGTTTCTGGTTCGTTTTTGTTTGTCCCTCTTTTGCGTAACAATACGTATATCGTAAAAAGTTTAAATAATTGACTCATTGTCTGATAGAATACAACTTATGATACATAGTAGCTGTTTTATAGTAACAACAGGTTATTCCCTATGATAAGTAAAACATTTTGAGGAGAAAGATAGACACATTGTTAATCATCACTTGGTAATTTACATTAGTGTAACGTATGTGTAGAGAGATACCTGTGTATGTATGTATGTGTTGTTTATTTTAGTTTTCGCTTCCCCATGTTGCACTTAGTGGCCAGTTTACACATTACTTTATGATCACGAATATTCCATTTATATAATATCACTATTATTATATTGAAAAATGTGTAAGGAAGAACAAGTGTGTTACGATAGTTTTTACATTAGTTTATCAGTGAATCTACAATAAACGTTATTTTCGTGTACCAATATAGTAGTATATACTGTGTTAACTGAATAGAAAGTGAATTTCAATTAGGAAACCAAAAAAATATATTCATAAAAGTCACCAATAATCTGAGACAGTGACCACACATTAAACCAAAAGGTTATTGTAGTATTACTTGTTTACTTTTTTAAATCACCATCCAGCCGCATGAACAATGCTCGTGCGTGTAGTAGAGGGGAGTAAGTTGGAAGAAAGTTGAAAGTGGCCAAATAATGACATCAGTTTATGAAGACATTAACCGTTAGACTGAATTCGACAGGTAGGTAAAGGTTACCTGTCTAGGATTTAAGTGTTAATCATGACCAAGTGTTGCAGACTTAGTGATATAACCCAGTTTAAGTCACAATAGAACAGATCTATTCACTTTTTATCTTCTTTTAGATCTTTAAATTTAAAACGATCTACTTGCACCATTTATTTCCCGAATTCATACTTCTCGAATCATATTGTTCATATTTGTCGTTGCTACTTCTGATCTCTGGCATCTACCTTTATAATTCTACCTCTCTGTGTATTGTAGTTGTGTGTCAGTTTGAATTGTATGCGCATATGTACTAAGTTCTACGTTGTTTGTAACTGATTCTGAATGAAATGACAACAGTTGTCATTCTTTTTTAACAAACTATCTGCTTTTCTCATATGACAAAATAAGGCAGTGGATAGCTTTCATAAATCAATCATATTGAATTAGGTCAACTAATTGTTATGTTAAATTGAGTTGTGTATCTGCACATTCGTTCTATCTGTTACTTAATAATTTTGTCTTCATTAAATTGTATCTCATTTGAGGCGTACATTGTGATATAATCTCATTTAGATACCATATGTATTTGTGTATGTGTTGTTAATTTGTTTCATCCACAGTCTTGTATTATTACTTCTAGAATAATAAAGATCAGTTGATATATTTGTAATACAAACGTGAAATTAATCGTGATGATCATTATCATGCTCAATTAATTTAAATAAAAGTTTATCATTGGTTCCATATTCCTCTGATTTATGTGTTACTATTTCATAATTATTATGTATCCATTTTTTTCATCCCCCTAGGGTATTCGTGGTCTTGGACGCTTCTACTTTGAGGTAACTCCTATTGAATCTACTGGACTATGGCGAGTCGGTTGGTCAACAGATGATGGGAATTTAATTGTTGGCACAGATCAATATGGTTTCGGTTATGGTGCAGATAACGAAGGTTTCGGTTTGAATGGACAACAAGGAAAACGTATACATTGTGATGAAATTGAAAATTACGGTGAAGTATGTTACATTTTGTTTTTCTATGACATAAATTATTTTTAGTATATATGAGAATTTTTTTTAACTGACAGACTTCTATAGTTTGAATCACGAATTGATTTTGGCTAGATTATCATTAAAAATCAGTAGACAACAGTTTCGTCGTAGAATGGAACTCATCAGAAGTCGACAACCACGACCTCGCTACCGGGAATCAAATCTAGGTCCTTCGATTTCGCGCATTTAAATCTAACTTCTAAACCAATAAATCGATAGATAATGGTGTGCAAGTCTATGTTCAATTAATTTACAATATTGCACAACTGTTTCCTACACTGGAACAAAACATTTGTCCAATGCGTCTTGGTTTTCAACACTAATCAACTGAAGATCAGTTTGTTATTCAAACTATGAAAAATAACTGTTTGTCTTTTCTTGATAATATATTTACCCAAAGTAATCAGAACTCCAAATATTACAACTTGGATATAAACAGAGTTCAGATAATGTATCAGATTGTATTTCATTATTGTTCCCCAGTTCAGTATCAAGAATGAATTTTTAACTGTTTGTTTTATTTTTCTGTCTACATAATTCCCATATTAAAAATAAACTTCATTCATCTGCGTGTCATCAATGAGCAACCATCCGCGTAATTTTCAAATATCTCACAAATTTTTGCAATAATACTTTATAATTTGCTAAGCACTTCATACTAATTATTAGAAAATGATGTACTTAATAGTTATCATTTATATATCTCCCTGTAACCACTACAGTTCTTATTACTCTATAGTTGTAATCATGCTTCACTAACACCAAACAGAATTCCAATCTCTTTGATGTTATCGTATAACTTCACAATTTCCTGAATAAATACCTTCAGTGATGATGTATATCAAGCTAGCAATGTTCTGAATTTCAGCTTATGATTCTCCGTACTTACGAGTTTCTTGAGTAACCAATTTTCGTCTGTACATTGGAGTCTACTACATTCCAAAACAACTTCATGAAAAAAATTTATCCCCCCTCTCTTTCCGTGTATTTAAAGCGACTGCGAGAACGATTGGTCCAGTTTTTTCTATTCACTGTTTACATTACTCATAAATCTCCTTTGTTTCTCCTTTAATTGAATGTCAACTTCAAAATTATTAATGTTTGCAAATGTTAGGTTTTTTATGGCAACACATTGGAGTCAATGTACATATTATTATTATTATTATTATTATTATTATTATTATTATTATTATTATTATTATTATTTTACTGTCGATTTTATTGACTCGTTTTTTCTCTGAATCCCTTTCATTATTGTCCATATTATGACTGTTACTTTTCAAAATCAACTCTGTCTCTTTGTTTTAGCAATTTTCTTTGTATGTTTATTTTGTAAAAAAAGGTTTACAATTATGTAGAAATGTATATTTAGATAATGTCTGTACAGATTTTTGAATATTATTTATTTATGTATGGAATAGTGACAAAAATGTATGTATTTACGTTTGCTTGTTTGTTTCTAAAGGACTATTATTAGTAAACATGCGCACGTATACGCACACACACTCAGTCACTTCAACTTATAATAATAATAATGATTATGCATAATCCATAATACTAATGATTTCTAATTAATTCGCTATTGAATTTATTTACACTATGGCCTGATAAGGTCTGTGTTAGTGAATGTTTTTTTTTAATTAATTGTTTACTTTGAATTGTTTGTCTTAGTTTTCATAGATTTTTATAGTTTTGTATTTTGAATCCTGCGAATATGATTTAGAATAACATTCTGTGTATTGAACTCTAGGAAATTTTTTACGGCATTTTACTCAACGCTGTAATAGTTTAAAATAAGTCATTTACATAGTAGAATTATTCATGTAAAAGGTTTGTAGAATCGTTAAGTTTTAATGTGTTGGGTCACTGGTGACTACTTTCGAGTGGTAATCCCTGGAGTCATAGTGCGAAGCAGTAACCAGTAGTTCAGTTCAACAATATCGGACGAGTCAGTTATTGATTAATGACAATGGAATATAGTTGCGCGATTCCGTGGATTCATTTAACTTGAAGACATAAACTATCGAATACCGGCTCAGTGGTTTGGAGGCTAAGCGCTCTCTGTGAAACCTACAGGTCATTGGTTCGACTCCTTATTGTGTCGTGGAAACTGCTGAGGAGTCCCTCACTACGATGAAACAGCTAGTCAAGGATTTCCTGTTTTCAAATGTTGTTTATGATTAGTCCTGAGTGCGAAATATGTTTCACGATAGCCTCTTTAATAGCCGGGTAGTCATATCTATCTTCTGAGGTTTAAATTTTGTAATTACGTTCCTCAAACTTCAACCTGGGCACCCAGATAGTGTTAAAAAGGTTCGTTTGGTTTCTACCAATCTGTAGCACTATCGACATGTCCTTCCTCTAATCAAGAGATATATTAGTCATAAATGTTATATTTAAGCACTCAGGTATTGCATAAAGTTGATGAATTGATTAGCAAAACTGCAAACCATTGTTGACCAATGTGCTGTAGCACAAAATCAACCACTCTACAATGGTGACACTGTCACACGAGTTGGCTAATTCGTTAGGAAGTGATCAAACAAAACGTGGCATCATTTCATGAAGTCATCGTCTATTGGTTTTAGCTAATACCGGGCTACAGGTCTCGTATTTTGATTTCATTCAATGAACCTAATCACTAGTCAACTAACTACATTCTATTATCTTTCTCTGTCTTTCCTTTTTAATGTTTAGGCATTCTCTAAAGATGATGTGATCGGCTGCTTTTTGGATACGATTGAACACACTATTAAATGGTCAAAAAATGGTTTAGAATTTGGTGACGCTTATCGAATTCCATCTGAATTGTTACATTCTAAAAATTTGACAGCATTGTATCCGACTGTGTCCTTGTTGAATTCTACCCTGGAATTGAACTTTGGCGACAAACCATTTAAATATTATCCTGGGGTATGTCTTTGTTGTCAGTATTTAAGTTTTGTCTGATCAAAACCTCACAAATTCTTTTGAAGACAAACTCTACCTTTATTGTCATCGCAGTCTAATCGAATTGAATAGTATACTTAACCCTCATACTTGGAGTGTTTTTCATACCCAAATATCAAAGTACTAGACTAACATGACATTGATTATTATTTATGAACAATCAATTCTAGATATCTTTATTCTTCAGGATGCCTGTTGGCTATCGAATAAGTTAACAGAAAAAACCACCATATATTATTTTTTTCGTAGAGGTGAATAAACTTCTTATTTCGTCAGTCATTCAATCTAGCCAAATAATTGAAGTTTAAACACGATAAAATAAACTAGTTTTCGGGTAATGAAATAAACATCCCACTAGAATTAATAATATATTGGATAAATAGCCAACAATCCGATCCAGGATGCTGTTTTTATCCGTTTTGTGGTTCTGCAGTTGAACGTACCTACTTCTCAGCCTTGAAACTCACTGCGATACTCGGATTCAGTACTTATTTCTTTGAATACTATTAATCTATGATAGCCATCAGCTTGTTCGATAGTTATGGTATTTGTAATGTTATTTGTAAAAGTTTCGTAGTTTCGTGTTCCTACTGTTTTTACTGCTAACTACCCATATCCAGAATTCAATCAACAGGCAATATTAAAACATTCATTCAGAGAGCCCATATGTAGATACACATCTTGCTTGGTAAAATACAATCAGACTTTAATCATTAACAACGAAAAAGCGCATTCGCTTTACAAATGATAATGCTAACAACAAACAGTTTCACGTGATCACTAAATTCTCTGGAATGAATCACTTGATTTGAAGTACTTTCTCGACAAATTGATTTCAGATTTCTCATTAATTGTTCTCTTATTTGTGAGACTTTTTTTATTGATTGTGTTGACAAATAGGAGGAAGTGTATTAACATGTTTTAGTGGCTATCATTATTATCACTTTACTGGATTTGTTTTCCTGATTGATTAATCATTGTCCAATCTATTTTCTAAATAATTATATATTTTTAAAGTTCAAAAAATTCTATTTATGTACGTAGTCAGTCAGTCAATCATTATCATCTTAAAGACTGGTACATATGTGTGTTGACCCCAGTTGTTATAATACAACTTTCGAAACATATATACACAAGACTTGCTCTCATTATTAACAAACTACAATATTATTAGAACAACACATATAAGCGAACAATTGTTTTCAATTAGATCGTCATCAGGCTTTACTCTAATAAACATGGATATTTATACGAAAATTTTAAACCAATCAAGGCAATATGAGTCAATAATCACAATGAAATAGAATAAGTCACTACACGTAAAATAGGTAAAAGTACAAGTTGATAGTACGAAGACAGGTGAACAGATAGTGGTAAGAATAATAAACTATAATAACAAAACTCTTATCAATAGTTAATCGTTGGAAATAGAAGGTCAAATAAACATGGGTAAATAGACTAGGAATAGTAATCACAAAACCTTAAAAATCATTACGTAATAAGATGTGTGTAAATAATTAGATAGTGAAGAATACAAAGAGGCGGATAATGACAAACAAATAATGGATGTGGAAATAAGGTTAACAATAACACAAATAGAATAAAATAAATAATGATAATAATAAAATTTAAAATAAAAAATAAAAAAAAATTAAAAAATAAAAAATAAAAAATTGTTAGTCAAGTTATAACTGGCCATGGAAGGGATAGGGGAGTCACGTATTTCTTCTGTACACATAGATTGGGGTTATATGTACGAATTCCAATGGCTTCAGCTATATATAGGAGACGGGAACGGACTCCGTCGGGAAATGATGGAGGTATACGATAGATAACTCGAAATGATTTCGATTTCTCTACTGTATGACCGCTATCAATAAGATGTGCTAGTATAGAACTCCGAATAGTTTTTCTCTGACCCTTTATGTACCAAGTTGGTAAATGTTCACTCATTCGTTGGTTAAGTTGCCTGGTAGTACGCCCTATATAGCTATCTCCACAGGAGCAGCTGAATTTGTAAATGCACATGGAAGAGGCCAACTCAGGTAACTTATCCTTCGTTTGAGTAGACATCGCTGGACGACAAGAGAAGGTCAACGCAAGATTGGCTGCGTAGAATGTCTTGGTGATTACTTTGGTTAACCTATATTTCAGAGTGTCACTAGCCACATCCCCGTTGATGACGATCTAATTGAAAACAACTGTTCGCTTATATGTGTTGTTCTAATTTTCACAATGGGAATCTTTAATACAATATTATTGATGAATAGTCTTCTTAAAAAAAGCGGAGAAGAAACAGAGGTCTTTCTTCATCAGTAGAAATGAACATTTTTTGTAGTTGGTTTTTATATACCTGACTGGTTTTCTTCATGGGTGTTAATTCTTTTTTTTCATTGGTTTATTGCCTTAATTTGCTTTTCTTCCTTCCGGTCATTGGCGAAAAATGTGCAGAATGCGTGCATTCAAACGCCGAGCAACATACTTTTTAACTATTAGATAGTCGGAGGTAGTATAAAGGAAATTTTAGACCTAGGTTTCGTCCCATTTGAAACTCGTCAGACACGTGTGCCTGTAGTATTGTGTGGGGCTATTACCTCGTGGCTTATCACTCAGCTTCACAAACTGGACTGAGATATTTATAACTGGTTGTTTACCGTTTTTCTACTCCTTTTAGTCCTAGTCGAGTTTTGTCGATCAAGTTTCATTGTAGCTACTAGTCTATCTAACCTGACATCACGCGCAGCATGCTGAGGTGTCCTACAGAAGGTCAGTCGCAATCTAAATAGCTTAGTGGTAACTAATCAGACTGTAAAACTGGGTGATAAGTGGTAAGACCAACCAAAAACATTAGTTCCCGCAATACTACATTAAGTTCCACATAACATGAAACAGGTCTAAAATTCCCTGCAAACTACCTTTAACCACCCAACATTTCAACACGATACACGCAATGTCAAGTTACTTAGACTGGCGACCACTTCTCAACTTGACTGATGAAGTCTGAGCAGACAAACAACATTGTTCACGACTGAATGATCGATTAACTGTGCATTCTAGATCGTTTACATCTAAAATATAGATGAAGCTAATAAATTCTCATTGTTGTTTTCATTGCAAACTATTTGTGTATTATTGTATAATATGCAAGTTGTGTTTATTTTCTTCCTACGCCCCCTAATGGATTATCTGTACACATTTTATTGCACAGCAACCAACGATGCATCGTATTCTCTATCATTTCAGTAGTCTCACCTGTTTTTTTCTTTTAAACTGTTTAGCCTGATTGGACACCTGTATGCTGTGCTCCTCCTGAATGTACTAAACGTTCTAGACGTAAAGGTCCTGAAGTAAGTCATATATATATCTTGACAACTCAGTATGTGTATATCCACTATAAACACCGTGAGATGAAATGATATTAGAACTGATATGTATAACAAATAAATTGTCTGACACAATCTTAAGTAATTTATGTCTTTAATAGTTGTTCAATCAAATATTTTGTATTTTGTAGAAATCCAAAATGTTTTCGCTATTTAATGGGCTATTTTTTTACTTATATGGCGTTATTCATTGAACAACTTGGCAGACATAATGAATTATTCATTTTTCATGATTGTTATCTTTATCATTCGTTGACAAAGTATATTACTATCTAGTCGCCACATTTTCGAAAGAAAATTAAACAAACTCGACTATCTAACAATGGAAAATGGTAACTAGTAGGACTAGCTAAAAGTTTTGTGTCCGATTGATTTAAAATCATACCATGGTCTACCATTAATTGTATGTTTACGTGTATCAATTTTGCGTACATAAATTGTTCTTTTCACCGAATATTTGTTACGGCGATGATCATCATCATGAAGTTTCTGAAGCATAAAATGGTGCGTGTAGAAATGCATCTTCATGGACAACAGCACTTTTAATGTATAGGTTTATTGACGGTATATACAAAGTAATATACATCAATCTTGTAAGTAATATAGTTATGTCTGATAAATAGTGTATGAAACGCAATAAATACTTTAATAAAATGACATATCCATAGTGTTATGTGGTGTTATAGTCACGAAATATTTATATATCAATGTTTTCGTCATGTGAGGATTACAAGGTTATGGTTTGCAGAGCGTAAGTCAAACTTAGTCTCATGTTGCAAGGCGACATACATAGGAGCATCTAAAACATGGAAGAAGGAATGTAGGAAAATAATTACCTAATGTGTGTGATATAAGGTTATGGCGGCGAATTTGTTTCACGCAATATATTGTGTCAGACGGTTTCATATCCTCAACGAGAAAGTATGTGTATGAGCAGATTTAAAACCACAAATCATGTTTACTAGTGATATTCAGTTACAATAACTCAGCTATTTCACAAACTGAATTGCATTACTTAAATATAGAAGATAGTCTACTTAGTATCTTGAAGAAAATGGTTACATAAAACATCAACTCTTAGCTTAATACATCTAAATTTGTAGTGTATGAGGTTAAGCTTAATGTCTGTTTATAATTATTATTTCTAATAACAAACTCAACAATTTCTACAACCTTTCACTCAAGAGAAAAATTCCAGAGCTCTAGTGAGAAACTGTGACCAGCGGGGCAAAACTGTCAAATGTGTAGAGGGTGCTCAGCGGGCACAATGAGAGATAGTCGCACAATATCGTAGATTGATCGAAGTTACATTTGTGCATCGTTGGATACCGGCTCAGTGATCTGAAGTTTAAGCGTTCATGTACAAGATCGAAGGTTCTGGGTTCGACTCCTGCGTGCGGAATCGTGGATACACACTGCTGAGGTGTCCTATGCTACGATGAAACAGCCGTCCAGTTCTTCCAGGTTTTCACTGTTGGTCTAGCTAAGATGTTTTCAGTGAAATAATAATTCACTTTATCAGCGATAATATGCCAACATACGATCACAGACTAGGCAATAAACAACACCATATATTATAAATAATGTCTCCCCCGTAGACATTCTCAGTTGATTTCTCTGTGCTAATGGGACATAGCGACTTAAGCCGATGTACACATATGTTATGTGCTGCGTTACGACTAACCACTAACGACTTGAATCGAATTGTAGTTGTATCTATTACTTTTCAAGCTTGGGTCTTTGTTGTTTTTTATTGAGTAATAGTAACCTGGACAATATGACCTTCATTCATCTGATTTTTATTGTATAACCTTATTGTTACTTGATTGATTAGTGCGTTTCTCCGTTTCTGTTTAAAATATTTGATTGAACTTTTATTCGCTTTATCAATCTACTTGATTTTTTATTCAAAACATATGTGTATATACAGCGGAAAGTGAAGGGGTGGTCATATATTGATCCGACTATTTTAGAACCATCAATTCGACAAACAATGCAGGTTAGTTGCATTAATTCATTTTGCTTATTGGTATCGCCGTTATTGTTGGCGACCGTTGCTGAGTAATGGTGTTTATTATTATTATTATTATTATTATTATTATTATTATTATTATTATTATTATTATTATTATTATTATTGCTGGACTCCAGTTTAAATGGGTCATCTGTGTTTACACAAGCGCATTTGGTTTTAACCTACCACCTACTTACGTGGATTGAAAAACAATGAGAATTGTGCATATAATTAAAGATGTTTACTAATTTTCACTCAATGTGTCCTTTCTCACTGCTGTTGTAACCAGTGCTCCCGCCTTTTCTTCTTTTCACTGGTACTTTATTTTGTTTGCATTTGTGCATCTGTTTCTATGTTTGACCTGTGACCTTTTTGAAGATATGCACGATTGAAATGTCGTCTGTTATATCTTCAAATAAATAATTTGACGGGGGAAAAACAACAACACTAATCTGAAATGTACACACATTGTCAATCTATTGAAGATGTTTTCTTTTAGAATATATCCTAAACCATTGTTTACTTTTCTGTTTTAATCTGAAATGTTTGGAACTAGTTTAGTAAAGAGATTATGTATTCATTGTGTTATTTATTCTTTGAATATAGATGTTACTCTTTTGTTTGTTTTGTCTTAAATGCACAACTATTTGTTTAAATCCAATTTAGTCGTAAAAGCAATCTCGCCATAGATTCGACATCAAATAATTAAGTGATTAACGAATAACGGGAATAGTCATCATTGTTTGATCTCGATTGGGTTACCATTGAGAACTGGGGAACACTGGTGGACAGCTGTTCCGTCCTAGTATGGGACTGACCAGCTGTGGGCATCTACAACCTCGTCAAAGATCAGACCCGAGTCTTCAGCTCTTGCAGGGAATTCTTAATGAATTGAACCGTTGAATCGGAGTGTTTTGGTGACGTTTGTTTTTACTCCGGATGTATCTAAACTCAACTACTGGTTATAGCTTTCCACCAAAAATTCGGGAACACCTGGATGTCACTTGTGAGACGATCCCCCGATGAAGATCAGGTTATAACAAATATAACCTACGAATTAAACTAATCTCCTTAAAACCACTTTCAGAATAAATAGAAGAGCTATTGTATGGTTTTCTTATTCTTCTTTAAGATTCATTATTAACATTGCACATATCTACCCTCAATCATACACATGATATTGAATTCAACAGACTTTCAGTGTTGTTTAGTACACAGAGCATATTTTGTTAGATTTAACTACTGATCCAATGTCTGACAGTACGAAACGGAAGATGAAAAACTGTTATACAGGTTTGTCTCATATCCATGGTCCAAAGAACACTACTGTCTATCAAAAATGCTAACTAAACAAAATTTTAAGAATTCTGATGTGTACACATTTTGTTTAAAGGGTCAGGATAGTTTTCTAACATTTATGTCTTCATGTATTTTGCACAAAATGACTTGCTAGAAAAGGAAATTTATATTTCAGTTACTTCGATGATAATTTTTGCTGTGTTATACTCTTTAACTGGATGTATTGTTCATAGTTATGAAACATTCTCATTGTTGTTCTAGTTGATATAATTACTATCGTCTCGCCTTAATTTGAGTGAGCTTTTAAAAACGATTTGTTTCACAAGCACAAAATCTACGCGTTATGTTTACGTTTGTCACTAGTTATCACTGCCAGTTTACTAATCTTCATTTGTTCTTGTTTGCTTTCCATTTAAGAATTGCGGAGAAGGACATTTAATTGTTGTTTCCACCCTATATAGTCGGGACTCATCAATAGAGTGGACTCCAAATACGCCGCTAAGTATCAAACCCCTTGAAGGCTTGTTACTAACATATTATTCCACTCACCCTATTGATATCCTATGGCTTACATTCACAATTTTTAGCAGTTCGTAATATTGCGGATGTACATTGGACAACTATTTAGCGATTCGTGGTCTTTAATAATTACCTATCTTTTAATACAAAATCTAGGCACCAAAAATATACTCATCCCGCAAACAGAACGATAGTATTGTGAAGAAATAAAAGAGCCTAGGGTAGTATAAACAGAAAAGCACAAATGAACATGAATGAATGGTGCCAAATAGAAGATACAGTTCAGAAAAAAACAGCTATTAAAAACTTCTTTCAGTTGATGAAACCCATCTCATTTTTATAAATAACGCAAAAGAAAACTGTTGTAGGATCGTCACTAGTTTATATTCTGAATCTTGTCTGATAATGTCGTCAGCCCTTGAGTTGCACCATCTATAGGATACTATCCAGTATGGTTGTCATGGTCTGGCAAATGCCAGTTCTACGCAGTCTTACATACCACGAGGCCGTTTCACAAACCGTCCCTCTCTCCATTTTTCTCAACCAATTTAACATCGGTCAATCTCGACAATCACCTTCCCATCCTTTATTGATTTACAAAGTGTGTTTACTTCACTTCTATGCACACCTCTAAAATTTCTCCCATTATAACTAGTTTCTAAATTCAACTACGTACCGGCCATTTTTTATTGTTGTGTCAATTTGAATAAGATTCCAGACAAGGTCAACACACTTTTTATATCACATGATATATAAATAAATAAAGTCTTGTTTTACACAGACTAGACAACTTTTAAGTTATATAAGCCACATTGATTTTAATCGTAGTTAGTGCCTTGTCTTTGTTTGGTGAGTAACAGTCCTAGATTCTCATGTTTTACAGAACAGAACATGCTCCTATTTTATAAATTTTGAATGTTTTATCTCTTGATCAGTGTTGCGTTCATTAATCATTGGAACTTTCAGTAGTAGTAATGGTAACAATAATATGTTTCAAGTGGTCGAGCGGTAATAATCTACCTCAAATAATGTGTAATAGTCAATATCTGACTGACAAACTTGTTGAATACTTTACATCTTCATCTCCTTTCTATATCTTATTAACCTAGTAACCATGATAATCAGATGTCAAAATGACTTGTTCTGGATGCATATCAATATGTTTATGTGTACATACGCAGGTGTGAAAAGAACGTAACGAAGCGTAAATATACAGACAGAAAGATGGATGACGATTCGTTTGGCTTCACTTTCCTTTCCACCCATTGTTTTCATCTGTGTTAATGTACAGTTTCGAATTGTATTGGTAATAGCAGTAGTAGTAGTAGAGGTATTCACATATTAGTATTTAACAAACAATTATTAACTATCTAATTTCTTTTCTTACTTATCTTTAATCTACTTTTTTTCTCATTTACACCTGAGTATTCATACGCACATTGATTTACGTGTACATACCGAATACTGATAGCATAATGATGTATTGACATGGCAGTTTCCACCTGATCATAATAATAATATATTGTTGTGTTGTTGATTTAGTTAATAAAACTGACAATCACACCTTTTCAATATTTTGTGACTGTATTTATAATTATTGTCTATCGGCGATTTGTAATATGAGTATTTCAAACTTGTGCTGTTTGCTCAAATAGCAGTTTGTGCATGCATGTTGTTGTTACTACTGCTATTCACTTGGAAGCAATATAAACATCACTCATGTCTGGTATCGTGTGTGATGTTATTTCTTATATATATTATAATGATAATACTTAGTCTTATGGCATTTTATCTTCCTCTTTTTCTATCTTCCTATTTCTTTCTCGTTTTATGTCATGCAAATTCGTTTACTCTCGTGAATTAATGAATGCTTAGGTTAGTGATGAGTCATTTCTCATTGATTCATCCACTCATTCATATGATTAATTTTTTGTTTATATTCGTGCTTATTTTCGATTTTCTATCTCTCTACTTCGCACCTTTAACTTCGCTTTGTTGCTGCTGTATCCATGTATAAAGACAATCATCTTTTTCTATATTCAATAAAAGTGTGATATCGAGCATTTTCTTCACTTATTTGGGGTGTCATTGCTGTGTATGAAGGCATGATTTCCACTGAAGCTTTTATTTTAATCATCAAAACCTGTTTCAGTATATCTTCTATGAATACGATACTAGTGCATCCCAACTTATTGTATGGAAGTAAGTAAATTAAGCAAACGTTGGAGTCTGAAACGAAATTCTCAATGAAAATTATGCTTTTGTACACAGCATTCACTTACTAAATGAACAAATAGATGCTAGATATTCCACACATATTAAACATTAAAAGTTGAATGCACTACAAATTCATAGACACGGATCTTATCCTGTTCTCAGTTATCTACTAAGGTAAGTACTTGAACGATCTTAAAAAGTAAACAAAGAAATTCGTTCACTACTTCTGTATTTGATCTAATACACAATGCTCAATAAGAATATGTATGGAAAACCCAAATTGGTATCTGTCAGTTTTATTGAATACGTTTCGTGTTGATGGAGAGAGGTTTGGACCTTAATTGTCTCTATTTTATCTCAGTTCTTGCACGTCATTGACGTTGAAATCATATATCATTGGACTCCACCTTAATTATTCTAACCATGATTATGCTTACACCATAAAAGTACCTAATTTTTATCCCCTAGTGCAGTCGTAGATATACAATGTTGATGAGCTTTATACATTAAACAGCTGTTCAGTGCTCCGTTCTGCTTTTCAGTAGTAATTTAACTGAAATGAATCCGTAACGAATACAAAATGCAGATTAAACGAATCTTCGTAAAATAATTTAGCTAAATAACCACTACACTAGATTCTTTACCAAAACTAATAGAATTTATTCGTATTGTTTATGTTTTACGAAAGTTTATTCAAGTATTTTTAATGAAGAAAAATTAACGCAGTCATATCAGATAGGGATGAATAATCATCAACTTCAATTCACCAAAAGCATGTGTGCGTGGATGATAGAATTGTCTTTTTTAAATGTTTATTCACCATAAATTTTTAATACTCTACTGATTTGATCCTAGTAAATTCTTATATTTGTTAAACTCCCTTGTTCATGATCTGTGTTTGTAATTGGTAAGACTGGAAATAGGTGTAAATTGACCCGTTGATGGTAACC